CTAGCTGGATATAGTATTCTTGGCTGCATATTTTTCTCATTTAGTGCTCTGAATATATCCTGCCAGTCCTTCCTGGCCTGCCAGGTCTCTGTGGATAGGTCTGTTGCCAATCTAATGTTTCTACCATTGTAGGTTACAGATCTCTTGTCCTGAGCTGCTTTCAGGATTTTCTCTTTGTCTCTGAGACTCTTAAGTTTTACTATTTGATGTCGGGGTGTTGACCTATTTTTATTGATTTTGAGGTGGGTACTCTGGGCTTCCTGGATTTTGATGCTTGTTTCCTTCCCCAAATTAGGGAAGTTCTCTGCTATAATTTGCTCCAATATACCTTCTGCCCATCTCTCTTTCTTCTTCTTCTGGGTTCCCAATTATTCTAATATTGTTTTGTCTTATGGTATCCCTTCTCTCGAATTCTGCCCTCGTGATCCAGTAGTTGTTTATCTCTCTTTCTCAGCTTCTTTATTTTCCATCATTTGGTCTTCTATATCACTATTTCTCTCTTCTGCCTCATTTATCCTAGCAGTTAGAGCCTCCATTTTTGATTGAACCTCATTAATAGCCTTTTTGATTTCAACTTGGTTAGATTTTAGTTCTTTTATTTCTCCAGAAAGGGTTTCTCTAATATCTTCCATGCTTTTTTCAAGCCCAGCTAGTATCTTTAAAATCATCATTCTGAACTCTAGTTCTGACATGTTATTAATGTCCATATTGATTAGGTCCCTAGCAGTCAGTACTGCCTCTTGTTCTTTTTTTTGAGGTGATTTTTTCCGTCTTGTCATTTTGTTCAGAGGAGAATAGATGAATGAGAGAACAAAATGCTAACAGGGTAACAACTTCCCCAAAAAAGTATACACTAAACAAATCAGAAGAGACCTGAAACCGGGGGAAAAGAAAGGGAAAGAAAGAAAAGAGAAAGAAAAAGAAAAAATTATAAAAATGAACAAACAAAAACAAAACCAGAATATGATCAAATATGATCAGGCTGGTGCATAGATCAGTGCCACACACTAGATTTTGGGCATATTTTGGTCCGTTAGAAGACAGTGCCTCCCAAAATTTTAAAGAAAGAAAAACTTATATATGTACAAAAATAAGGGTTAATACGATGAAGGGATGGAATATACTGTAAAGATGAAAATTATAAAAGATTTTATAAAAGGAATTAATAAGATAAGAAGTTGGTTGAAAAAAGAAAGAAGAAGGGTGCCTGGGTGGCTCAGTTGGTTAAGCGACTGCCTTCGGCTCAGGTCATGATCCCGGAGTCCTGGGATTGAGTCCCACATCGGGCTCCCTGCTCGTCAGGGAGTCTGCTTCTCCCTCTAACCCTACCCCCTCTTGCGCTCTCTCTCTCAATCTCTCTCTCTCTAATAAATAAATTTTAAAAAATCTTTAAAAAAAAAGAAAAAAGAAAAAAGAAAGAAGAGGATTTTAAAAAAAAAAAAAAGGAAGAGAATGTGATCAGGCAGGAGACTAGAACAAAGCCATACACTAGAGATTTAGGGTATATTTTGGTCTGTTAGAAGAAAGTGTATCCCCAAATTTTAAAGAGAGAACAACATATATATATATATATATACCAAAAATAAGGTTAACTACTATGAAGGGATAGAATATGACTCTAAAAATGAAAAATAAAAAAGATTTTTTAAAAAAGGGATTGATAAGACGTTGGTTGAAAAAGGGAAAAAGAAAAATTTTAAAAAAAGTTAAAAAAATTAACTTTGAAAGAGTAAAGAATCATGGTAAAAAAGCCATGAATTCTCTGTGCAGTATTCCCTTAGTCCCGGCGTTCTGCCGTTCTCATTGATCGGTAAACTTGGTCTTGGCTGGCTGTTCTCGCTGATCTTCTGGGGAGGGGCCTGTTGCCGTGGTTTCCAAATGTCTCTGCCGGAGGCGGAATTGCCCCGCCCTTGCCGGGTCAGGGCTAAGTAATCTGCTCGGGTTTGCTCTCCGGGGCTTTTGTTCCCTGCGAGCTTTGCGTACAGCTTTGGAGGCGGAGAGTGAAAATGGCGGCCTCCCAATCTCCGCCTCGGAGGAGCCGAGAACTCGGGGCCCCGCTCCTCAGTGAGCCCCCAGAGAAAAGCCGTCAGTCACTCCCGTCTCCCCGGTCTCCGGCCACACTCCGTGCTCACCCGGCCTGTGACCGCGCGTTTCTATCTCTGGCATCCGACCCCGGGTGGAGTCTCCAAACCCAGCAGATCCCTGCGGTGCACTCCTGCGTGGCTCCTCCCGGAGGAGGAAGGGGAGTCTCCCCGGATCTGCCGCTTGTTGGGTCCCTGCTGGAGGAGCAGGGGCCCGACTGTGCCGCGGATCACGGTTTATGGCCACCCCGAGCTGAGAGCCCGCGCCTGGGCTCCGCCTCTGCAGCCGGCTTCCCTCCTCCGTTACCTGGGAGCTCTGCCACACTCAGGCACCCCCGGTCTTTCTGTGACCCTGAGGGTCCTGAGACCACACTGTCCCACGAGGGTTCTACCCCTCACTTAGCCACTGGAGCGATGTCCCTCAGCAGAGCAGACTTCTAAAATTTCCGATAGAGCTCCGCGGCTCTATCACTTGCCAGAAGCGGCTGATGGAGGCCCCTCCCCCGCCGTCTATCCTCCCGAATATCGTCTCAGATTCACGCACGTCCTACCTTCCAGAAAGTGGTCGCTTTTCTGTTCAGAGAGTTGCTGCTATTCTTTTCTTCGATCTCCTATTGAGTTCATAGGTGTTCAGAATGGTTTGATCCCTATCTAGCTGAATTCCTGGGACCAGACAAAATTTAGGTCTCCTACTCCTCCGCCGTCTTGCTCCTCCATGGTCCAAATTCCTGAAAGTGTTCAGTATGGTCAGGGATGCATCACGTAAGTCAGGAGAGAAAGAGCTTTTTGTGAGCTTGAAAGGGGACAAGGGACATACCATGGTCCTTAAATGCTAGATAGGATTTGGAAGAAAGAGAGGGGCACCTGGGTGGCTCAGTTGGTTGGGCGTCCAACTCTTGGTTTCTGCTCAGGTCCTGATCTTATGGGTTGTGGGATAGAACCCCACCTCAGACTCCTTGCTTTGTGGGGAGTCTGCTTGAAAGAGTCTCTCCCCCTTCCCCTGCTTGCTTGGATTCTCTCTCTCTCTCAAAATAAATAAATAAATCCTTAAAAAAAGGATTTGGAAGGAAGAGAAAAAGACACAAGGTTTGATATAGGTGGGGAGAAAGAGTCTGAGCAAAGACACAGAAATAGTCAGAGAGAAAAGTAAAATGAAAAAAGTTCCACTGAGCAACATGAGACCTTGTGAAAGCTGCTTGGCTTTCTTGTCTGATTGGCTTTTATTTGAAGCTTCTAGTTAGGGAATAAGGCTATCCCTAGTAAGGTTTCATGATAGAGGTGAGACCTAATCTGGTCCATCATTGAGAAACGATGGGATTTGATTTGGTGGAGCAGAGGCATCATGGTGTAAGTGAGCCTCGCTTATCCGAGGGGCAAACGAGACTAGAAAGTTTGTGTTGGGGAACAGGAATACATAGTCAGATCAGATACCTAAAGAAACTGGGTCCATTGAAGACTGATTGAATGCAGATTTTTTTTTTGATAAATAGAGTCACTAAAGAATTTTAAGCCAGGGAATGATGAAAGCCATGTTTTAGGAAAATTAAACTGTTGTTATTGTGTAGAATGGATTCGAAGGAAGGGACTCATAGCAGGGAGCTCTATTAAGAGACTGTGGAAGTGCCTGTGTGTGATGACAAGGACCAGAAAAGAGTCCTGGGCTTGGTGTGGGACTGTGCCTGACATGTGCTGGGTGCGGTGAGCCCAAGAGCTGTTGCAAAAGAAGAACTGACGGAACTTAGTGATGTAAAGCCGACAGAGACAAAAGTCGAGAGAGTTCAATCAAATATGATTCCAAAGTTTCAGCCCTGGGAAGGGGGGAGATGGAAAGACAATCAGCAAAAGAGAAGACCACTCTGGTTTGGTGAGGATATTGAAGGTAATGGGTTCCAAAGCATTGCATTTGTTGGAACCTTGGGACTTCCAAGTAGCGATGTTCTGTAGGACAGCACCGTGGGAAGGGATGATTTGGTATGTTCGTTTGGGAGGTCACTACAAAAAGGAGATTGTGAGGACCTGGAAGTGGGTAAGACCACTGGAGGATTGCAAGGGGCTGAGCCCAGGAGGCATACCCACAGTTAGAGAGTGGTGTGCACATAGGGACGCAGGGCAGTGAGAGAGAGAAGAGGCAACTGGGAGAGAGTTGCTAGAAGCAAGGAGTGGGAAAATGCCAACTTGGAAAAGAGGTTGCAAAGCAGATGTGGTAAGGAAGTGTGACGTTTCAATGACAGGATAGTTTCAATGACAGAAGATAGATTGCAAGGAGTAAGGAAGGAAAATTTGGTAAAGAAATGGAGGATCTGAGCAGAGACAAATCTTGTGCAATTTTGTATCAGTTACAAAATAAATGGAAGAGCCATCGAAATAGGAAGAAGTTTTCATCGAAGAGCCTGCCCTTATTTGAAGAAGTCACGATAGCAGGAGGGGGATGCATATGAGAGCAGTCCCAGGAACTAAGGGGGAGTTCACCTTTTGGTGTTCAGAACTCTGCCAATTTTTTTTTTTTAAGATTTTATTTATTTATTTGAGAGCGAGAATGAGAGAGAGAGAGCACATGAGAAGGGGGAGGGTCAGAGGGAGAAGCAGACTCCCTGCCGAGCAGGGAGCCCGATGCGGGACTCGAACCCGGGACTCCAGGATCATGACCTGAGCCGAAGGCAGTCGCTTAACCAACTGAGCCACCCAGGCGCCCCTAACTTTTGTTTTTTAAACAAACAAAAACCCATCCATTTTGTGGACTCTTGTACTCACAACCTTCCTGTGAAAATTATTGCCTGAAGTTTCATCAGGATCCCAGACCACTATTTTAGGAAAATCTTGGACAAAATGGAACTGGTTTTAGAACCAAGAGCTAGATCTTTCTATGAAATTGATAGAGATGAGTCTTATTACAACACATTATTCTGTTTCTTTTGGCAGAAAGACATGCTGAATCATTGCTTGACATTTGTCATGATACAAACTCTTCTCCCACTGATATGATGACAGTTACTACAAACCAAAATATAATCTTGCGAAGCATCAGCAGCAATGAGGTAAGATGTTCTCTTTAAAGAAACTAACAAAAAATGGATAACCTACTCCATCTACAACTTCATTTGTATTGCTTGAATATTTTATAACAGTCACATATTACAATTATATTTTTAATCACAAAGTAATTGAAAGCACAATTAATAAGACAGTGTTCCACAAATTTAATCTCACAGCAGTAATTAATCAACTCGGAGTCTCGAGCATTGTGTGTGTGTGTGTATGTGTGTGTACATCTAATACACAGAATATTGAACCCATACTAAATAATAAAATATAGCTTGTGTTTATGTGTGTTAATGTGGAAAAAGAGAAGACCATTGATCTGATCATTTCAAATCCATCAGAGGGTACCATAAAGAAGGTGCCTCTTCCTGGCCCCAGTCACAATCCCCCTAGCCCCCCTGCCCCGTCATGATGAATGACTCCACAAAAAGTCCCGCACAGGTCAGTAACAGTACTAGTAACAAATAGTGTAATCCATAGAAAACTGTGAACTGATACACGGTATATACAACAAACTGGTAACAGTGGTTGCCTACTGGGAGAGAATTGGAGACGAACTGTGCACTGTGTACTCATTTGTACCTTTTCAATTTTTATAAAAATTAACATAGCCCAGACAGTTAAAAATATTGCTACCCTATATTTTTTTGGTAAGAAAAAATATGGCCACAAATTGTTTATTTTTAAAAGTTAATGGGGGGGGTGCCTGGGTGGCTCAGTTGGTTAAGCATCTGCCTTCAACTCAGGTCATGATCCCGGGGTCCTGGGATGGAGCCCCGTGTTGGGTTCCCTGCTCAGCAGGGAGCCTACTTCTCCTTTTCCCTCTGCTGCTCCCCCTGCTTGTGCTCTCTCGCTCTCTCTGTCAAATAAATAAATAAAATCTTTATTTAAAAAAAGTTAATGAGGTATGGACTATAATATTTATCAACAAGGACTTTTGGAGATGGTGGAGTAAAGACTTTTCAGTCCCTTTCTCCTCCGAAAAATCATCCCAAAACAACAAAGAAAACAAAAACCAAAAATTTAATTTGAAAAAATTTCTTGGGGCGCCTGGGTGGCTCAGTTGGTTAAGTGTCGCCTACAGTTCAGGTCATGATCTCAGGGTCCTGGGATTGAGCCCCGTGTAGGGCTCCCTGCTCAGTGGGGAGTTTGCTTCTCCCTCCTCCTCTGCCCCCACCCCGCTTGTTTTCTCTCTGTCTCTCAAATAAATAAATAAAATCTTTAAAAAAAAAAGAACAAATGTTCTTGTTTTGAAATAATTATAGATTCATAGGAACTTATAAAAATAGTACAAAGACATCCTGTGTAAACTTCACCAGCTTCCCGCAATGGGAACTATTATCATAACTATAGCAGATTGTCAAAACTGGGAAGTTGATATTGACACATTACAATTAACTAAACTACAGACCTTGCTTGGATTTCACTAGAATTCGCATACATTCCTTTTTCTTTCTTTCTCTGTGCGTGTCTGAGTATACAATTCTGTGACTTTTAAAAAAAAATTTTTTTATTTATTTATTTTAGAGAGAGAGTCCCCATGCTGAGTGGGGAGCCCCACGGGGCCTGATCCCATAACCCCGAGACCATGACCCGAGGCGAAACTAAGACTCGGTCACCCAACCAATTGAACCACCGAGGCGCCCCTGGTTCTGTGACATTTCATCCCTTGAATCACCAGAATCAAAATATGAAACTGTCACCACAAGGGAATCCCTCTCCTACTTCCCTCTTTATAGCCACACCCTCTTCCTTTCCCTAACCCCTGGCAACCACTGATCTGTATACCATCTCCATAATTTTGTCATTTTGAGAATGTCATATAAATGGGATTATCATACATAAAAACTTTGAGATTGGCTTTTTCTACTCAGCATAATGCTCTTGAGATAGATCCAAGTTGTATCAAGTCTCTTTACATTGCTAAGTAGTATTCTATGGCACAAATATTCACAGTTTACTTAATCATTCACCTGTTGAGAGACATTTAGGTTGTTTCCAGCTTGGGGCTATTATATATAAAGCAGCTATGAGCAATTGTGTATAGATTTCTGTACAAACATAAATTTTCATTTCTCTAGGATACATGTCCAGGAATCCATTTACTGGGTTATATGGTAAATGTATGTGTAACTTTTAAAAAAACTGTCAACTTTTCAGAGTGGCTTTATCATTTTATATTCTCACCAGCAATGAATGAGATGTCCAGTTTTTCTGTACCCTGGCCAGCATTTAGCACTATCAGTATTTTTTTTTAAACTGTCTTAATAGATGTATGGTGGTCTCTCATTGTGGTTTTAATTTGCATTTCCCTAATGACTGATGTTGAACATTTTTTCATGGGTTTATTATTCCCCATTAGCATAAATTATTCAAACTTTTATCCATTTTCTGATTGGATTGTTTGTTTTCTTACTGTTGGGTTTAGAGAATTCCTTATATGTTCTGGATATGTGATTTGCAAATATTTTCTACTAGTCAATAGCAAGAACTGGCTTGTTATTTTCACCTTTGTAACATGGCTTTCATCAAACAAAAGTTTTTCATTTTGATGAAAACCAATTTATCTATTTCTTATGGGTCTTAATTCTCATGTTATATCTAAGAATTCTTTTACTTGATCTGGGTCCTGGTTACACAAATGCTCAGTTTATAAAAATTTACGAGTCTATGCACTTTTCTGAATGCATGCTACACTTAAATTGAAAGTAATGCCAAGGGGAGGGGTATGCTTTCAAATATCTGAGAAAAGAATTGTTTTCAACCTCAGATTCTATATCCAAACTATAAGTCAAGTATTAGAGTTGAATAAAGACATTTTTCAGACATACAAACACTCAAGCACTTTACTTCTCAAATACCTTTTAAGGAAGCTACTATGTGCCCTATTAAATCAAAGGAATAGAGGGGCAGCTGGCTGCTCAGTTAGTAGAGCATGTGACTCTGGAAACTGGGGTTGTAAACTCAAGCCCCATGTTGTGTATTGAGATTACCAAAAATAAATAAATAAATAAATAAAATCTTTTTTAAAAATTAAGGGAATAGATAAAAATAAAGAAGGAAAATTGGACCCCTGATGCAGGCAATCTGGAATCTAACACAAGAGAGAGAATCATTGGTATAATGGAGAAGGCAAGTTCCAGGGTGTCAGCCATGTATCTGGTCTAGGGAACAAAGAGCTGAGATAATTTGGGGTGGGGGAGGGGAGAAGAGCAGGATAATGGAGATTTCCAGGAAGGAAATGGAACTAATATATTATCTGATATATTTAGCCAAGTGGAGAAATCACTGGAGGTTGGAAAGATTTAGGCATTAAAAAATATATAAGAAAATGAGTAAAACAAAATAGAAATAAAAATGGGGTGTAAGAGTATGAAATTGTCTACTGTAATAAAAAATCAGTAGGTAATATTTCATTTTCGTGACTTAGAAGATAGCAGAACAATAGTATTATCTAGAGATCTGGAAGAAAATACCAAAAGAAACAATTAAAAGACTGGAAGTGGTTATCTCAGAGAGAAAGGGTGGGGAAGGAAAATGATGACCTTTTTGTTATAAGTTTTTTACCATTATTTGACTTTTTAAAAATATGCAAGTTTGATAAACATTGAAATTAATTAAAAATTAAAATATAGAAATGGTTAGGGCATCTGGCTGGCTTAATTGGTAGAGCATGCAACTCTTGATCTTAGGGTCGTGAGTTTGAGCCCCACATTGGGTGTAGAGATTACTTAAAAATAAAATATTTAGGGGTGCTGGCTGCTTCAGTTGGTCAAGCCTCTGCTTTCAGCTCAGGTCATGGTCCTGGAATCGAGCCCCACATTGAGCTCGCAGCTCAGGAGGGAGTCTGCCTCTCCCTCTCCCTCTGCTCCTCCCCCTGCTTGTGCTCTCTCTCTCTCTCTCGCTCACTCTCTCAAATAAATAAAATCTTAAAAAAAATAAAATCTTTAAAAATATATGTATAGAAATGTTTAAATCAGGACTCCTTTGGGGCATGGGATGGGATGAGTAGAATGGAAATGTGTATTTTTTAGTACTATTATTACTATTTTTTAATATTAAAGAACAGCAGAGGGGTGTCTGGCTGGCTCAGTTGGTAGAGCACGCGACTCTTGATCTCGGGGTTGTGAGTTCAAACCCCACGGTGGGTGTACTTAAAATCTTTAAAAAATAAAAAAACCCCAGCTTACTTAATACTATTGGAATATTTTCCTGTGTGCCTTTATAACTTTTTAGAACAGGTTAAAAACCAAAAACCAAACCAAAGTTGCTTTGGTACACTGGTCCTCCACAGGGGGTGATCTTGCATTTGGCATCATTTGGAGACATTTTTGGTGTCACAACGGGTGGAGGTGCCACTGGCCTCTAGGGGGTAGCGGTAGGGGCTGCTAGAGTGCGTAGGATCGCACCTGCAATGGCGAGGTACCCAGCCCCAAAGGTCAGTGGTGGTGAGGCCAAGCAACCCTGCCAAGCAGCAGGTTTTATCACAACATTGAAGGTTGTCTTGGTTTTGGTTACTAATATTACATAGTAATTGAAATAAAATACCTAGAGACCAATCTTTAAAGCGATGGTCATACATTAGAAATTGATACACAAAAACACACTTACTTTTCATTTTTTATGGTATGTTTAAGTAATTTTCTTTTGTAAAAGGACTAAACACCCCTTTACAGCCGTACATTTTTTCCCCATGCAATTTAAAAACGTTTACTGAGCCTTCACTCTATATTTTTCTTGTTATGATTGAAATAACTTTGAACTCATTTCTGAGGGAGAAATAGACTCTGACTATTGAACTTGCCTTTTCTCTCTCATGCTTTCTCTCGGGTTTAAATGGTAAAACCCAAGGTCATCCTTCACTTCTGTTCTTTGAATGAAAGCTTGTTTTTCTTTATGGCTGTCTGCAATAGGTTTTTCTAGTTTACAAATAATAGGCAGCTGCCTTGCTTCTGGGATTGTCCTCTGGGAGGCTTTACAGCCTCTCCCAATCTCCTTTCATTTAAGGAGAATCTTCCTTCCCAATTTAATTACGTATGATTTCTCTGCCTCTTTTCTCTTCTGTATTTTTGGGATTCTGTTGTTTGCAGATTAGAATGCTGTACTCTTTTTCTAGTCTAGTGTTATCTCCTGCATCATTGTCAGTGGTTTATGAAATCCATTTATGTTGGGGCTGTGCTGTTCTAATATTTTCTCTCCTTCACTCATGACTGTCATTTCAGTTGTCCTCCTTGTGGCACCCAAGTACATCTTAAAGTCTTTCATATTTAGCATTCTAAAGGAAATTAGAAAATCCGGAGCTGTTTCTGTTTTAGAGTCTTCATTTACATGATAAACTTCAACGTGTATATTATTCCCTACATCCTTTTTGTGTATGTGTGATGTTTATGGTTTTTCAGTTTATTCTGTGGAAGAAATTGTTGTCAGGTACTTACAGGTATCACATGTCTTTTATTTTTTTTCCTGTACAAAACTTACAAATGGGTTTTAATATCCTTTCTCTTAATTTTGCTTACTGTTATTGATTCTTTTCTTTATGGTCCTTTTTTGAAAGATTTTATTTATTTATTTGAGAGAGAGAGAGAAAGAGAATGAGCGGGGAGGAGGGGCAGGGAGAGAGGGACAAGCAGACTCCCCGCTGAGCAGGGAGCCTGATGGGGGGCTCAATCCCAGGATCCTGAGATCATGACCTGAGCCTTCTGGTTCTTTTTGAGATTCTTTATTTCAAAAGTTTCATGGTAGCAAGAAAGCAGAGGGTTTAAGAGCTTTGGAACCAGACTTCAGAGTCTGAGTGTGATTCCTGGCTCTACCATAGGGTAGCTACATGACCTTGATTAACCTCTCTGGGCCTGTGTGTAAAGAGAAAACAATAGTTCTTGCCTTTAGAGTTGGTGTGAGGATTAAATTAGTTAATATGTGTAAGCTGTATAGAGGAGTGTCTAACCCTATATATGTAAATGCTAGTCATCCTCATGGATTTTTGTAGGTAGGTGTGCACACGCTCTTCATCTTCCAGCTTTTCCAAAAGGACCAACTAATAAATGAACTGAGCAGCTGAGACTGATCACAGCTCATTAATTAACATAGACACCTGATGTGAGAACCAGTTGCATATTAAGACTTCCATATGAAGACTGCTATTTTCCAAAGCTTAGCATAAAAATTTCATTGAATCACTGTAATTATATGAAATCGTAGAAATATATTTTGAGGTCTCATAGAGTGTTCCAGAGTAAGGATCCAAAAAAACTATATATATATATATAAAGGAAAAATTCAGTGGTTAATAAACATGTGAAACTATCTCTAAATTTTTTTACTAATCAAAGTATGTACATTCAAAGAACAATAAGATGACCCGTTCCATATATTACATCACTAAAAATGAAAAGTGATGATAATTGATAATGGAGAAGATGTAGCAAAACACCCTCATGCACTGCTGGTAGAGTGTAACTGTAAACTTTGCTTCTAAAGTAATGTGTGGGGGCACCTCGATGTCTTAGTCGGTTAAGCATCTGCCTTTGGCTCAAGTCATGATCCCAGGGTCCTGGGATCGAGCCCTGCATCAGGCTCCTTGCTCAGAGAAGAGTCTGCTGCTCCCTCTCCCACCCCCCTGCTTGTGTTCCTGTTCTCACTCTCTCTCTCTGTCAAATAAATAAACAAAATCTTTAAGAAAAATTTAAAAAGTAATGTGTATAAAACAACTTAAAAATGTTCATACTCTTGATTAATAATTCCATATCTAGAAATTTACTCTGAAGAAATAATACAAAATTGGGGTATTCGTTGCAAGGATGTTCATAGCAATATGTGTAATAATGAAGAATTAAAAACTGCCTAATAAGCATTATGGGCTTATATGGTAAGACTCATGGGGTTAACTAAACATTGTTATGACCCTCTGATAGATATTTGTTGAGGGAAAGAATTTACAATTACATTAAAATAATGTTTACTTAGTAAATTACTATGTAATTTGTACTTGTCTTCAGTGAAAAAGCTGGATAAAACAATGTATGATGCAACTATATTTTATAAATACTTTGGAAAAAGACTAAGGAAATATTATTTCTATGTTAACAGTGTTTGCTTTTTATTTGTACGATGATAGTTTTTTTCTATTGCATTTTTAAAGATTTTTTTTTAAGATTTTTATTTATTTATTTGACAGAGAGATAGCGAGAGCAGGAACACAAGCAGGGGGAGTGGGAGAGGGAGAAGCAGGCTTCCCGCTGAGCAGGGAGCCTGATGTGGGACTCGATCCCAGGACCCTGGGATCATGACCTGAGCTGAAGGCAGATGCTTAACGACTGAGCCACCCAGGCGCCCAAAGATTTTTTTTTTATTTCTATATATTCTAAAAAGAGTTCCCTGCTCCCCCTTTGTAAATGAATGGGGTGGAGAAGCAATTTGCCACATAGTGGTAGAATTTTTGAAATGCAGAGAAGAGCAAGCAGTGAAATTCACTACCGTCTAGTATCAGGGTGAACCCGCCCAGGTCTCTTATTTGCCATTGACAACCAGGATAGTCTGAGACAGGGTACCTAACCTTTGCCAGGAGATAGAAAATGCTTTAAAAGCAGGTACTGCAGGGGTGCTTGGGTGACTCAGGCATTAAGTGTCTGCCTTTGGCTCAGGTTATGATCCCAGGGTCCTGGGATCAAGCCCCACATCAGGTTCCCTGCTCAGCAGGGAGCCTGCTTCTCCCTCTCCCACTCCCCTCTGCTTGTGTTCCCTCTCTTGCTGTGTCTCTGTCAAATAAATAAATAAAATCTTAAAAAAAAAAAAAAGGTACTGCTGCGTAATAGGTATGACTATGAAGTTATTATGATTCAATACCTAAAACATTTTAATGGCAGTGTAAATAAAGGACTTTACTTTTAGTATTTTCTGTGGTAGTTAAAATGAACAAAGTGGGAAAGATTCCCAAGCTCGACTGGGAATGAATGAATGACATATCAGAGGCTTTGTGATAGCCTGCCCACCTGTGTGACAGGCATCTGTGTTTAGGGCAAAGACTTTTTATCCAACAGTTCCCTTAAATAGGTAGCTCACCCAGATAATAGAAACCAGAGAGCTAATTGTAACTTACTGGTTATGAGGTGATATTTTAACTACTACTTGCATCTATCACTGTTCTAGACATTAAATAGGGCAAAATCACTGGCAGCAACAACTCCTAAGGAAGGACCCTATCGACAGCAATGAATTCTAATAAGAAAACACTTCTTATTTAGGGAGTTAGGATTACTTTTCATAAATCGAGTTGGCTTTCAACCATCGTTCTTAGCATAATGATTACTTTCTAGAAAGGAGGTTTTTCCTTCCTTGAGAGATTGCATGCCATGATTAGATCAGAAAGCTGTCATAGTGAAAACTTTAATCAGCTTTGCTGCCTCCTTTCAGTCTAGAGATATCTGTAGCTTCCATATGGGGCAGGGATTTCCATCCTCACTAAATGTAAATGATGCCCCAGGGAGGCATTATGGAAAAAATCATGTTCCTTTGGGGCTGTTCACTGCTGTGGCCAAAGGATTCTTTCCAGTTTCCCACCCAGATGGAATTTGTGGCAGCTTAGCAGCCTGGATGCTGATGTGATAAAAAGTATAAGATATTGAATTTCTATGTGTCTATGTGATTTCAGCTTTGATCTTCATTTTTGATTGTGCAATTAATCATGTCCACGTCTGTCTGAGCCTGGTGCTCTAGGAGGAGATACTTTTCCCATTATTTTAGTCCTAAATACATTCTCCAATTTAAAAGGAATCCACAGTGTGAAACTTTAGCTTAGAAAAATCTATATTCATTCTGTCAACAAAGTAGTACATTGAATAACTGAGTTGCTATTTCATGATATTGCAGGAGTTTGACCAGGATGAGGACTGCAGTCATTCCATATTGGTTAGTGAAGGAGGAGATCCAAGTGGTGATGGACAAGATTGGCAACCCAGGACAGAAGGTATCTGGCTTCTGTCCTTGATGTGTTCACAAAGATAACACTGATTATTTGGCTCCCCCCCACCCCCCCACCCCAATTTCAATAGTGCTCGGTAGAGAACTTTAAAAACACAGAAAAGCACAAAGGTCAAGAAAACACGCTCACAGTCCTATTCTTTGGTCCTTTTCTCAGTTAGAGTCTTGGCCACTTGCCGGTCAAAATGGCCATCTCTCTTATGTCTCTCTCTTGACTCACTCCACTCCAGCTCAGCCGGCCATCCTCTCCCCCTTTCCTTTTTGTCTGATAACATCTCTCCCCCCATTTCTTTCCTCTCAGAATCTTCCGTCAGCTTCAGGGATCTGTTTTCTTCCAGAACCAAGCATTTCTCCATCAGCTGTTATCCCAGAGCTTCTCTCTTCAGAAAAAGATGGGGGGCTGAACAAGGCACTAAAGCCCCAAGTCTCAGTCTTTTGTTCCGTGAGGACATAAGTCTGGAATTTTCCAGAACAACACCCATTCCAAATATGTTATCTTGTCATTTGCCTGAGTGGCTTTGCATTTAATAGACCACAAGGTATTTGCAGATTCTCACTTTCAGAAAATAGTCTCCACAGCGATCCCAATGATCTGCTCACCTACAAATTTATTAAATTAAATGTTTATTCACACTGCTACTGTTTCTCTTCGGCAATTTTCTGGCTTCCATTTCTAACTCTCCAGGGAGGCTGTCCTCTTGGATTCTTTTCTCTGCAACCCAGTGAACCTCCCCAAACACTGCAGCGCTGTCCCAACCACCCTCTCCTTTGGCCCATTATGCGATGCTGCCCTCTCCTGGGGAGCTCCTGCCTGTCTCAAACTCACTTGGACTCTCCTTTCTCCAGGCTGAGGGCGGAGAATAATTTAGTAACATTTGATATAATGAACACCATGAAACCTCAAAAACCTAATTAAAATGAAAAAATCGGGCGCCTGGGTGGCTCAGTTGGTTAAGCGACTGCCCTCGGCTCAGGTCATGATCCTGGAGTCCTGGGATCGAGTCCCGTGTCGGGCTCCCTGCTCGGCGGGGAGCCTGCTTCTGCCTCTGACCCTCCTCCCTCTCATGCTGTCTCTCATTCTCTCTGTCTCAAATAAATAAATAAAATCTTTAAAAAAAAAAAAAAATGAAAAAATCCTGGCCCTCTCCCAAACACCCCTTGTGGTCTGACTTTGACTTTCGAACACTTCAAAGCAGAGTTCTCAGAACAATTGTGTCCCAAGTACCCTCCAGGAGGCTAGATAATTTGCTTATTCTACTCAATTTGGAGATGACTTGCCATTTGAGGTGCAGTTAATTCTTTTGAAATAATTTATAATTTTTATAATTTTAAAATACACCGACTTTTCTTATAGGAGCCATAATACATGGGTAGGTAACCTCCCCGCTAAGCTCTTGCTTAAAATTTGAACTTTTATAAGGGGTTCCAAATTTGAAAGAAGCAGTTATGTTTCTGATACATTTTCTTCTCATAGTTATTAGTCTATAGTAGTTACTCTTTTAAGTCGTAAGTCTGAAATAACAACGTTTGGGGCACTACTGTGCGTTGTATTCATCTTAAGTTATCAGTATATCTCTTTAACCCCCATTTATGTGTTCCTAACATACTCGAGGCTGTTGATGTTTAAGTGCTGGAACACCTTATACTTTCTGTATATGCCATATGAGTATCCTGATGTAGATATACACATTTAATCATTTAGTTTATCTCTGCGTGTTCACTGTATTCTATTCAAAAGGGAGCATCACTAAAATATATATAAACTCTATAATGTTTAGATCACACCCACAGACTTTAACAGCTAAATATTCCTGCAGCATGCATTGGCTTAATTATAGGCTTTTATAGATGGTAATTTATAAAATACAATTTATGGCTCCCCTAAAAAAAAATCCCTCATCCTTTTCCTTAGTATAAAAATCTTGCACTCATCAATCAGCTACGTTCCTAGAACGATTATCAGATGCAAACCTTGAAGACTACATTGAGCATGGAAAATCACTCTCTTCATAAATGGAATAAGAACTTACTTCCTAAAATTACTGGGCTTAAATTTTTTTTTTTAAGATTTTATTTATTTATTTAACAGAGAGCGACACAGCGAGAGAGGGAACACAAACAGGGGGAGTGGGAGAGGGAGAAGCAGGCTTCCCGCGGAGCAGGGAGCCTGATGCGGGGCTGATCCCAGGACCCTGGGATCATGACCTGAGCCGAAGGCAGACACTTAACGACTGAGCCACCCAGGCACCCCTGGGCTTAAAATTTTTTTAATGCAATGTATCCATCAGGATTCTTAGTTGCAGATAACAGAATCTACTTTTAATTGAGTTAGCAGTGAAGGAAGTTTTAAAAAAATATTAGAAAGTTCACAGACCATTGAAAAGCCAAAGGAGAAGAACAGACTCTAGGTTCGATGTCAGGAAGAATTCTTGTAACCACATCTCAAAACTGGCTACTCACCTCCACATCACGCTGCTCTGCCACAACCAGGAAGTTGCTCCCATATCATTCTTGGAAACTCATCCATCTGCTAACAAGCACATCAGCAAAAACAATGACGGCATCTTAAATTTTTTCATAACTCATGTGAATCTGTCTCTCAAGTTGGCTTTCTGAACTCTAGTGGCAAAGGAGACAGGAAAATGTAGTTTAAAAAAAAAAATCTGTGTTGAGATTCATGATTTAGGAAATTATAAAAATGTGGAAAAGGTGTCAAAATATTTTGAACTTCAATGCCCATCAATGTAAACAGAACAAGCAGAAAACACAGGAAAGAAAGACGCTTCTGGAGACAATAATTTTTCATCACTGAATGAATTAGACTCGGCCAATTTTCAGTTTTCATTTTAATAATGGCTGAACATTAGCAATTTAATGATCATTTTCCCACTTTGAATATCAGTTTCACTTCTTTTGTGAAATTACATTTCTGGCTGTATTTAAATGTTGCCTCTTAGTTTCTCCCTGCAGTAACATTTTCTGGTGGGGTTACCTTACCTCTTCTTAAGTGGAAGGATACACAGGAGCAAGTGTTTTACTTCTACATGTGACAATGCATCTTTTCTGGCCCACTGGGTAGGTTCAGAGGCTCCCACAACCATTCATGCTATTCGAGAGACAAAACGGAGAACATTTGTATGTTCCCAGCTGATTTCAGAGTCAGTACATTCTATAATTTTTCCCCCCCTATTTGGGATCAACAATTAGGATGGGGCCATTAGTTCTTAACAATTTCCACAAAGGTAGGTATTTCTTATTCTTGCTTATTCTATCTTTGTTTCTTGGTTTGAAAAAAGAAATCAACCAATTAACAAACTAGTGAACACATTAAATTTGCTTAAAAACATTCTGGGTTTATGAGTTCTCAATAACTGTAAAAGTAGTCATTCTTAAGAACATGTTCACATGAATACACTCTGCACAGTTTTCGAACTTCCACAGCAAAGCACTAATTGCACTTAGCCTTTGTAGAGAATAGCCTTTTCACTGATGGTTTAGTTATTAGGAATGCATGCTGTATGGTTTTTCTTACTTTAACGTGTCAGCTAGGTTTTGCACTCAGAGATGACTACAAAAATGTTATGAAAGACATCCATATCCCTTCCAAGTATGAGAGTGGCCCTGAGCATGTCACACAACCTCGTGGTTACCAGTTTGTCTATAACATGAAGGGCTTGCATCCGATGAGCTCTAAGTTCCTTCTGGCTCTGTAATTCCAAGCCTCTCATTTTGTGCTGATAAATAGTGTGGTGGTAGGATCTTTGAAAAATTTTTAAGAATATATTGACCATCCAAGGGAAAACCTCATTTTTAGAGAAGTGCTCGTTGCTATTTTATTAGAAAACATGCACTCATGTCGTCATATTTGGAAAACATCAGGAAAACCAAATTATTATTATTATTATTATTATTCAGTAACTTTCCCAAGGTCATCCATGAAGAACAGAGGAGGGATGTAGGTCCAGATCAGTCTGATTCATACCTTCCTTTAATCTTCTCTGCTCTACTTCTTTCCTAGCATTCCATCAATGGGGCTGATTAAAACCACAGCTCCTCTAGACATAGGGAGACTCACTAAATGGTCCTGAGAAATACACAGATAGGACTGAATCCTGGGACAAGCACTGGGTTGTTCTAGAAGGATACGCCTCTGTGTTCCCACAACACCATTTGTACACTTCTATCACAGTGTTTAACTTGATACACTCTTGGCTTTCTTATTTGCTGTCTTTACACAGTTGCACCTTGTTTATTTCTGTATCTTCAGCATAAAAAGTTAGGCTTGGCATCTACTTAACAAAAGTTTGTTGAATGGAAAAACATGAATACATGGACAACCCTTAAAGTAGCATGGTTCACACTAGTTTTTTAATATAAATTTAACATGTTATATTGTAAGCAAGCATTGATTCTGCAAGTTGGAACTTTCTGTCTTAAGGGTTATACTGGAAATCATTCCATGGAATCAGATAGGATTTGACCAAAATTCATACACAAGTGAGTTCCTAGGGGGCAAGGAAAATGATCTCATTTAAAGTTCACAATGGTTGTGTGAAGTCGGTGTCATTAGTTGCACTTTACAGAAGGAGGCCTTGTTTTCTCCATCCAGGGAGAAAGCATTGCTCATCTTAAAACTTTATTTTATATCTGGAAAGTTTTGTTACGTACTTTTTTTGCTCATGCATCTGTCATTTTTATGTCTTCTTTGGAGAAATGTCTGCTCATGTCTTCTGCCTATTTTTTATTTATTTTTATTTTTTAAAAAAGATTTTATTTATTTATTTGACAGAGAGAGACACAGCAAGAGAGGGAACACAAGCAGGGGGAGTGGGAGAAGGAGAAGCAGGCTTCCCGCGGAGCAGGGAGCCGGATGCGGGGCTTGATCCCAGGACCCTGAGATCATGACCTGAGCTGAAGGCAGATGCTTTTTTTTTTTTTTTTAATTTTATTATGTTACGTGAGTCATCATACAATACATTAGTTTTTGATGTAGTGATCCACGATCCATTGTTTACGTATAACACCCAGTGCTCCATGCAGTACCTGCCCTCCTTAATACCCATCACCGGGCTAACCGATCCCCCCTCCCCCCTCCCCTCTAAAACCCTGTTTGTTTCTCAGGTCCATAGTCTCTCATGGTTCATCTCTCCCTCCAATTCCGCCCCCCCCCCCACCATTTTTCCCTTCCTTCTCCTAATGTCCTCCATGTTATTCCTTATGTTCCACAAATAAGTGAAACCATATGATAATTGACTTTCTCTGCTTGACTTATTTCACTTAGCATAATCTCCTCCAGTCCCATCCATGTTGATGTAAAAGTTGGGTATTCATCTTTTCTGATGGCTGAGTAATATTCCATTGTATATATGGACCACATCTTCTTTATCCCTTCATCTGTTGAAGGGCATCTCGGCTCTTTCCACAGTTTGGCTATTGCAGACATTGCTGCTATGAACATTGGGGTGCATATGGCCCCCGAAGGCAGATGCTTAACCGACTGAGCCACCCAGGCGCCCATTCTGCCCATTTTTTAATTGGATTATTTGCTTTTTGGTGTTGAGTTGTATAAGTTCTTTATATATTTCGGATACTAACCCTTTATCAGATATGTCATTTGCAAATACTTTTTCATTCACTAGGTTGTCTTTTAGTTTTGTTGATTGTTACCTTTGCTATGCAGAGCTTTTTGTTTTGGTGTAATCCCAATAGTTTATTTTTGCTTTTGTTTCCTTTGCCTCAGGAGACCTATCTAGAAAAATGTTGTTATGGCAACATGATATTACCACCTGTGCTCTCTTCTAGGTTTTTTTTTTATGGTTTCAGGTTTCATATTTAGGTCCTTAATACATTTTTATGTATGGTGTAAGAAAGTGGTCCACTTTTTCATTCTTTTGCATGTAGCTGTTGAGTTTTCCCAACACCATTTGTTGAAGAGACTGTCTTTTCCCCATTGCACGCTCTTGCCTCCTTTGTCATAGGTTAATTGACCATATAATCGTAGGTTTATTTTTGGGCTTTCTAGTCTATTCCACATTCTGTAATTATTAAAAACAGATTAGCTAAATAATCAGAAGTAAAATACTCAGTTCCCGGTTGCCACTGGAATTCATTACTTTCTTCTTTTTATTACCGTCATGTGTTTCTATAGGTGTTGAGATTATTGTTACTTTTCCAAGAGATGTCAGTTATCCCCAAGAAATGAGCCAAGAAGATTTACAAGAAAACAAGTAAGGAATTTTCTTTGAAAGGTTAGACTGAAATTTAAGTATGAAGTGATACTTGTGTGATTCACCCTCCAAAAAACACTCTAAAGCAGGGGTTGTAATAAATATTATTGTGGCAGGAGCAGATAATACACATTTTAGTCTTTATGGGTCATATGGTTTCTGTTGCAATGATTCAGCTCTGCAGTAGTAGTTTCAAGGCAGTCATAGACAATATGAAAACAAATAGGTATGGCTGTGATCCAATAAAATTGCAAAAACAGACTGAAGGCTGGCTTTGGCCCCTAGGTCAGAGTTTGCTGACACCCTACAGCAGTGCCACTTAATATGTGATTCTGTGGTCCTTCTGTGACCAGTCCATGATGAAGTCAGGACAGAACGTGAAAATGTAAACACTTAAAAAGTTGTATTACAATTTGACCAAGTAATTTTAGGTTCACTGATCTGATAATGAAAAAACTGGGATTTGTTTTCATGGTTTTGATTTTTTGCTTTATTCTGATAGTAATTCACTTTTATTATAAAAGTGCTACAAAAGTTTCATTCCACAATGGATTGGAAAATTTAAAAACCGGTCCTTTCCCGAAGATAGTTCGAGAAGTCCTGGGCTGGTTAATGCCTTTAGAGAAGGAAAAGAATGCATCCCCTGTGCCTGCACTTTGCCCCTCTGATTTCTCTGCTCGAGGAAATAGGGACTGGGGAAACTATAGTGTGGGGTGCAGAAGGCAGACGATGTGGGGTGTGAGTCAGAGGGTGGAGAGGGCTTGTCCTTTCAAGAATACAGCTCTTCCACTCAGCAGCTCCACTTGGAAATAGTTCTCCAACTCTCTGGTGATGTCAGGCTGGACTGAGAAGTGGAGATCCAGAAGACATGTGGAATGAGTTTTGAATGAAACTGTGTCCTCCTCCCTTTCAGTCAGATAACCGCAGTGCATCGAGAATGGGCACGAGCACATGCTGTTTCTCTCCCAAATGAAATCGAGATGGTGGACTTCAGGACAAAGACGCTGACCATGGGGCCTTTGCTTCTGAAGAAAGAGGAAAGTTCCAAGGAGCTCTGTGATGAGAATGTGGGCTTTTTCTTACCAAGACCTTGCTTAGAACCAAACATTTCCACATCAGTAGCCAGAGAAGATGTTCCTCACTTTCGGAAGGGGCAACAAAGAAAATCTGAAGGTGAGTTCACTTAATTACAGTGATCCCTTTATTCTTCTGCCAACAAATTATCTATCTCTCATCTATCATCTATCTATCTATCATCTTTTTTTTTTTTAAAGATTTTTATTTATTTATTTGACAGAGAGAGAGAGATAGCGAGAGCAGGAACACAAGCAGGGGGAGTGGGAGAGCGAGAAGTAGGCTTCCTGCCGAGCAGGGAGCCCGACGCGGGGCTCGATCCCAGGACCCTGAGATCATGACCCGAGCCGAAGGCAGACACTTAACGACTGAGCCACCCAGGCGCCCCTGTCATCTTTTTCTTGAATGTATGAAAAATCTTTACCGTGAACTCATATCTAGTTGATGTTTACCTGTGGGAATCTTGGGGGCTTACACGGAGGATGCCTTCCTCCAAGATTTGAGTTTGCCACTCTGTCTAGCCCAAGACTTATTTACCAGAGAGCACACTGGTGCCAGCATTTTCCCTTAGGACAATGCTGTCTTTGATATTTGCTTGCCACTGTCCTAAACCAATTGGCCTAAACCTCCAGGGACAAACCTGTAGCCCAACAAGGTGCATTTACTGGCTTACTGCAATAAGATCGCATAGCAGAGAAACTGTTAGGGTAGGGTTTTTCATAGGGTGCATTTCCAGTAGCTTCCTGAGAAAAGGTGCATAAAGTATATTAATGACAGTTTTTCACTGTCTCTGTTTCTTTTGAACTCTGTTCTTTCCATTTGTCTTGTTCTCTGTATTTTCACATTAGTGGCTTTTCTCACATATCCGTTGTTCCTTGACTATCTGTTTGTATTTCTTGGCACTAACAAGTGCTGGGTGCGCCAGGGAGTGTGTTGAATGGGCAGAGAGAGACCTAGATGGTTGAGTGAGGGATTCCCCAAGTGTCAGTGTGCACAGATAGCCTTTTGTCTTGGTCAGTTCTTCCTGGACAGGGATAACCAAGCCCCTGACGATGGGTTGAAAGGCTGGGACTCACCTGTCAGTGTGTAGGCTTTCCCTTAATCCTTTTATTTTCACTCCAGCACCTTGTTTCTGCTCTCAGCTATACCTAGCTCCTTAGTATCTTTGTCCCAAACTCTCCAGAAAGTAAACTTCCAGCCATCTGCCAGGAACAGAGAAGAGTAACTCCCGATGAGTGGGGCAGGACAGGGAATCTGGAAACTACTTCTTCCGCAGACTTACAAGCAACCCCTTGTTTCGTCCTCACCTTCGGAGGTAACCAGTGTCTTCAATTCCTGCTCCTTTCTGGAGTTCTTATTCCTTATTGAGTTCTCCCCCTGCAGGCACTGAGCAGAACAGAGGACCACTCAATATTCATCCATTAAGTTTTCACCATGTAAAATTTTGTTGACTTGGCTCATCTGCTGTCTTGTTCCTCTGGGCTTTTGTTGTTGTTGCTGTGCTTGTTTACTCCTTTTTAATTTCCTTTACTATCATTATAGTGAGAAATTTGTGGAATGGAGAAAAGTGGGCGCATTTGATCTTTTAACTGGAATTCTATACACATGTAAAAGGCCTTCAACATATATTGCCAAGATACCGACCAGCAAGATCTCACCTCTACATTCTCACCAGAAGTGTTTGAGTGTTTTTCTACCTCATGTCGTGCCTTCCCAACACTGGATAATATTTATGCACATATTTAAAATAGGTTTAGAAAGGTTTTTTTCTTTTTTTTAAATCAGGAGGTTATACATATGCACCCAATTATACATTATATTCTGTTGTATTTCTGGTATTAACTTGTAGCATCCTCTTAACAGGGAAACCTCAGCCTCTACAATATGACCTCTTAGAGGGTAAGGATTTTGTCTTTGTTGTTCACAAGGATATTGCCATCTTCTGGGATGGTATCAGTCACTCATCAGGCACCTCAATAATTATTTGTCAAGGGGTGCCTGGGAAACAGACATTTATTTCCTCAGGAGCTGTTTGCTTACATTCCAGGATAATAAAACCCAGAGATACATTTCCCCTTTCTCCTGGAGACATTTGCTTACATTTCATAGTAAAGGTCTCTCTTTCTTGGGAGAGAAAGATGGGTCGAAGTACCAATCAATCTGAGTCTCATAATCTCAGGGTTCACTTCTGTGGTGCTTCTCCACATGTAAACATGGTGCTCACTGTGTTGCCCTGTGGGGAATTGGAGTGTGGAAAACTGGTGCTATGATGCTTTGTGCGTAACGAATGCTCTGTTCTCTGATCCAGAAAGCTTGTATTTCCTACCAGAATATAAACATAAACATAAATATAAGTATCATTATGAATATGAATGTAAATGTAAATATACACACATATATACAAATGTTATGTGTGTATATATATAATATGTATATTATATATATAATATACATTTACAGTTGGCCCTTGAACGATGTGGGGGTTGGGGACACTGACATAGAAAATCCATGTATAACTTCTGACTCCCCAAAAACTTCACTACTCATAGCCTACTGTTAACTGGAAGCCTAATCAATAACATAAACAGTCAAGTAACACATATTTTGTATGTGTATTATATACTGTAGTCTTACAATAAAGTGAGCTAGAGAAAAGAAAATGTTATTAAGAAAATCATAAGGGGGCACCTGGGTGCTCAGTCGGTTAAGGGTCTGACTCTTGGTTTCAGCTCAGGTCATGATCTCGGGGTCATGGGATTGAGCCCCATGTCGGGCTCCATGCTCAGCACAGAGTCTGCTTGAGATTCTTTCCCTCTCCTTCTCCCTCCCCCTCTACTCCTTCCTCTCCTCTCTCTTTTTCTCAAATAAATCAATAAAATATTTTTAAAAATCATAAAGAAAATACATTTACAGTACCCTATTGTATTTATTGAAAAAAACTCACATATAAGTGGACACACGCAGTTCAAACCCATGTTGTTCAAGGGTCAACTGTATATAAAAAACAACATTATATATAAAACAGCATCCCCCTTCTGTGGTGGTAGCCTTAAGTGGTTTTTTTTTTTAGATTTTTATTCATTTATTTGATGCAGGAAGGGGCAGAGGGAGAAGCAGATCCCCCACTGAGCAGAGAGCCTGATACGTGACTCAATTCTGGGACTCCAGGATCACGACCTGAGCCGAAGGCAGTTGCTTAACCAACTGAGCCACCCAGGGGCCCCTTTTTTCATTTTTTTTTTTAAAGCCTTAAGTTTTCTATAATCATTCCATGTGGATTACAACTCGAAAAACTCTTAATTTTAACTTTTCCTCGAATGTTAGCACCAAGATCACTCCATCTCCAACTCTGGCTTAAGACCTACTGCGTTCACTCTATTATTAAGAATATCTATTTTATTTTTTCTTGTTATAGAGTTTTCTATTTCTGATATGAAGTACAGTCACCGAAGAATCGAGGTAAGATTAGTTTTAGCCTTTTTTTTTTCTTTTTAAGATTTTATTTATTTATTTGACAGAGAGAGACACAGCGAGAGAGGGAACACAAACAGGGGGAGTGGGAGAGGGAGAAGCAGGCTCCCTGCCGAGCAGGGAGCCCGATGCGGGGCTCGATCCCAGGACCCTGGGATCATGACCTGAGCCGAAGGCAGACGCTTAACCATCTGAGCCACTCAGGTGCCCCAGTTTTAGCCTTTCTGACTTAAGATTTAAAACCAAAGAACCTCTTGTTAGAGACAAACTCTATCAAAGAACTCAGAACCAAAATCCTCAGCAACTATAGCTTGGAAAACAACAGCTCACAGATAGTTTATAGAGTCACAAATAACTACTGGGAGAGTTATACTTTGCCATGTACATTTCTTTTCTGGGGTGTTTTCTGTTCACTACATAATGAGGTAAGTAACTCTTTTAGACATATTTTAATTTGTCTTCTTTTAACATGTCTAGAAATTAGGTAAACTTTTCCCCCAGTGGTAGAAAGATTTTCCTAGTTGTCTAGTTTGTAAGTATAGTTTTTGGAAAGATTCTTGTGACCCTCTCAGCTGTCGGCCTCTACTCTGTCCCATGAGCCTATGAGAAAGTGCATAGGTACTGCTTAGTGTTGTAAAAAGTTTATTGGCCTTAAAAACAAATAACAGCTGCTACTAGGGAGATGTTTAAGGCCTGGCAGAATCTGTCTTTATTTCTGACGTTACGTTTGATTGAAGAAAATCATCTCTACAATAAAAGTGGGGGATTACACTGCATTTCACTACTTCTAATGCCTAATCTCTAGTATCAGCTTCCTTTCCCTTTCTTCTTACACACAGGTGGCAATACAATGACAAACATATAGCTCTCAGTTGCCATGCATGATCCCTGCCTATAAGTATTGTAATATAATTAGGTACCAAATCTGGGAAGAACCACAACAGAAAGTTAGTTTATAGCTTAATGACCATAAAGCTGAATTTATATATTGGGTTACACTGACCTCTAGAGGTTGCTGATAATTAAAACTAACTTGATTTGAAAATAGTTGAGAGGGCCAAGAAGTAAAAACCATTCAGGGTTGCTAGCTTTCAAGTGTATAGTGTGGCACCTTTATAAGCCCCACCCAACAAAACAATTCAGCAAAATATGAAGGAGTAGTTGTGCTCCAGATACAAATTCTGAGTTAGTCTGTAACCTAATGATCATTGTTAAAGTAACTGTAACAGATTTTTTTTTTTTTTTTTTTTAAGAGAGAGCGCAAGAGGGGCGCCTGGGTGGCTCAGTTGTTAAGCGTCTGCCTTCAGCTCAGGTCATGATCCCAGAGTCCTGGGATCGAGCCCTGCATCGGGCTCCCTGCTTGGTGGGAAGCCTGCTTCTCCCTCTCCCACTCCCCCTGCCTGTGTTCCCTCTCTCGTTGTGTCTCTCTCTGTCAAATAAATAAATAAAATCTTAAAAAAAAAAAAAAAAAAGAGAGAGAGAGAGCAAGAGAGCATGAGCAGGGGCGGGGAGGGGCAGAGGAAGAGGGAGAGAGAGAATCCCAAGCAGACTCCTTGCCCAGTGTAGAGCGCAAAACAGGGCTTGATCTCACAACCCTGAGATCATGACCCGAGCCGAAATCAGGAGTCGTACACTTAATTAACCTTAAGACCGAGACACCCAGGTGCCTCTGTAACAGAAATTTTATGCTGTTCTAAGTGGGTATTTAAAAATATCTTATATCGAGGGCGCCTGGGTGGCTCAGTCGTTGAGTGTCTGCCTTCGGCTCAGGTCATGATCCCAGGGTCCTGGGATCGAGGCCCACATCGGGCTCCCTGCTCTGTGGGAAGCCTGCTTCTCCCTCTCCCATTCCTCCTGCTTGTGTTCCTGCTCTCGCTATCTCTCTCTCTGTCAAATAAATAAATAAAATCTCTAAAAAAAAAAAAAATCTTATATCGATTCTACGGAAAGAAAAGGAAAAGAGAAATAAAATTTCTCATCTTAAAATTTTAATGTTTACCTGGGGCGCCTGAGTGGCTCAGTTGGTTAAGTGTGGGACTCTTGATTTCCGCTCAGGTCATGATCTCAGGCTCCTTGGATGGAGCTGCACATCGGGCTCCACAATCAGCGGGGCATCTATTTCTCTCCCCCTCTCTCTCCCCGCTCACACACTCTCTCTCCCTCCCTAAAATAAATAAATATTTTAAAACAATTTAACGTTTACATTATAGGGCCCTTATTTTATTATAAATACATAAACATGAATCTTTATAGCTATACCAATCTTGGTTTTTATTTTTTATTTATTTTTTTAAAAAGATCTTATTTTTAAGTAATCTGTACACCCAACATGGGGTTTGAACTCACCGCCCCGAGATCAGGAGTCACCTACTCCACTGACTGAACCAACCAGGCACCCCCAACAATCTTGGTTTTTAGAAGTATTGTTTTACCAAAAATCCCAGGCGTGAGCTTTTAGTTTTTAAAATTGGGATCTCTAGTGGACACCTGGGTGGCTCAGTTGGTTAAGCGTCTGCCTTTGGCTCAGGTCATGATCCCAGGATACTGGGATCGAGTCCCACATCAGGCTCCTTGCTCAGCGGGGAGCCTGCTTCTCCCTCTGCCTGCCACTCCCCCGCTTGTGCTCTCTCTCTGTCTCTGACAAATAAATAAATAAAATCTTAAAAAAATAGATAAATAAAATTGGGATCTCTAGGATAGCCTTGTAAAGGCCTCCCTAAATCAAATCTTAGAATCTATCTGGAATGGATGGGGAGATTGGGTAACTGGGTGATGGGCATTAAGGAGGGCAGGTGGTGATGAGCACTGAGTGTTATACGCAACTGATGAATTGTTGAACACTACATCTGAAACTAATGATGTACTATGTGCTGGCTAATTGAATTTAAATAAAAAAAGATAATCTCTCTGGATTACCTTAAACCACTTGATATGATATGCATGTACGTTTCTGCGTTCATTAGCCTTTTCTCTTTTCTTTTAGTTCCCTCTGCCACCATTGTCACTTTTGTCCATGAAACCTGGTGTTCATACAATCCCCCCAAATCACAATGATCCAAAAGAGAGAGAAAGAAATATTCTGAACTTCATATCCTTTGTACCTAAGCTCTCAGAGCCTGGAAGTCGATCTGAGGAGTTTAGACCATCACACAAGCAGCAGGAAGCTCCGTTTAAGGTGTTTGTGGGTCAGACTCTCAGGTCCTCTGATAGCTCCATTTGGTCCAGAAACATGTGCTCGTTTTGGAAGGCTAGCCATCAGAGACAACACATGGAGATGGAGGAGAACAGGAAATCCAAGGAAACAGAAGGAAGCGACAAAATTGTAGTCTCTGACTTTGAAAAGGGACAATCTTTGGGATCCTTTGGAAATTGTGAGGAGAGCAATTTTCCTACAAATCGGGAAGTGGATCTTGACTGCATTGGTCGTGAAATTCGAAAAGCAGAAGAAGAGAATTCTCAACATCTTTCATCAGGAAAGAAAGAGGGTTCATTAGCCAGAAACTGTAAACAAGACTGTGAAGTTGGATGTACCATGCCAATCAAGTTCCAAGAAGCCCAGCATTCAGAAATAATTCTAAGGCAGGATGAAGAGACTAGAAATGATCAGGCTGATTCCAAAAGTTCTTCAGTACAGAAAGGTGAAGCAGTTGAGCCAAATCATATTTTAGAAGAGTGTACTGTACTTAAAAGTTTGTCCAATGTAGTCCCTGATGGCTCTACTGAAGAGCTCCCACAAGGTCATAGAGGCATGGAGACAAACATAAAAATATCAGTAGCAGAGGCCACCAAACCAGAAATGAATGCAATGGTGCCTCTTATCCACATCACTTTCCCTGGACATGGACCTCCCAAGGAACCGGCAATAGCCAAACTGAGCCTCCAAAAAAGAAAGGGCACTCTTCAAAACAACAATAACTTCAACATACTTGCACACCAAGAAAACGACGGGCATAAGATGAAAACCCACAGAAATAAGTTGGAGTCAAAGACCAAGACCAGTAACAGGACACCCCAGAATTTCATGATTTCCATTGCAGGTTCCATTAAGCCTACCATGCATAAAACCAGCAAAAAAACTCAAGTTTTCCCTGCTTTGGGGATTGTTGACCCCAGACTTCGGCAGTCCCCCAAGTTTCAAAGGAGAATGCCACAGGTAGAAAAGAAGCAATCAACTTACAGGGCTCTGAAACCTAAAAAGCAATCTTTTCCTTGCATCTGTAAGAATCCAGGAATGAAGAAGTCTCCTGTTCCTCTCTCTGCTCAACCAACAGAGCCAAGACTAAATTATTTAGATCTTAAGTATAGTGACATGTTCAAAGAAATCAATTCAACTGCTAATGGGCCTGGAATCTATGAAATGTTTGGGACTCCTGTTTATTGTCACATGAGAGAGGCTGAACATCAGGAGCACAAATATTACCGAGAGATATGCTCAGCTCCGTCTGGCAGATGTATTACCAATAAATGTCGATCGTCACACAGTGAGAGAAGCAGCAATAGCAGAACAAGATTTTCTCAGAAAAGACCACACATTAAACCTGCAAAGCCTTCGCTTGGCATTAAACAAAAGAGCAAAAGTTTAATTTCTAAAGAAAAGGGTTACAAGGCCGTAGGTAGCAACTTACAAGACATTGAAAATGGTGATGATATTTCAGATCCAGAGTGGCAGATAAAGTCTTCAGGAAATGACTTTCTCTCTTCCAGTGATGAAGGTCAGCCCATGAACTTGGCTCTGGTTCAGAAGCGGTCCACTGCACAGAATGGATTCCTTCCTGTTACAGGTTTGTCCACTGTTGAAGAAGTCTCTGTGGAAGAGTCTGCTAATGAAGTAGACATTTCTAACAATCAAATACTTGCCACAAGCCTCAGAGATCTGCATAAACTTGAAGAACTACATCACCAGACCCCATTTGTTCTTTCAGAAAATAGCTGGGCAGTGCCCAGTGAGAAGGGTTCCAATAAGCATGTACTGCAAGAAAAGCAGAATACAGCATCTCTTGGTAAAATAAATGCCAACCAAATTTTGACTAACGATATAGGGTTCGAAAGTGTTTTAGATAAGTCTGAAACACCTACGAGTTTCTCTTTCCAAGAGAAACAACAGAGTGCATCTTCCCAAGCATATCAACATTGGGCACATTCTTTGGATCATGATAGTTTAGCTAATGAGTCAATTACATATCACACATTTGGACAAACTTTAAATGATGCAAATTCAATTTCGCAAGAAATTCTAGATTCTGTGAAGAATGAAGAATTGACAGATGAACTATTAGGATGCCTAGCTGCAGAACTATTAGCTCTTGATGAGAGAGATAACACCTCTTATCAAATAATGGCAAATGAAACAGATCCTGAAAACCTAAATCCTGTCTTCAGTAGGAGAGGAAAAACCACGCCAGAATTGGGCGGAGAGACGACAAATGTTAAAATACAGGTTGGTATAATTAGAATCAGTGATTCATTGAGGCAGGAACCTCAGAGTCTGGTTCAAACTCCTTATTTTCAAATGAGGAATCAGAAATCCTAACCAACTCAGTAGTTTTGTCAAGGTCTCACTATTTGGTTGCAAGTTTGGAATCCAGATCCCCTGACTGTCAGGCTAAGATGTTTCCTTTTTCTTTTTTAATTAATTAATTAATTTAAAATTAACATATAATGTATTATTTGTTTCAGGGGTACAGGTCTGTGATTCATCAGTCTTACACAATTCACAGCACTCACCATAGTACATACCCTCCCCAATGTCCATCACCCAGCCACCCCATCCCTCCCACCCCCTCCACTCCAGGAACCCTCAGTTTGTTTCCTGAGATTAAGAGTCTCTTATGGTTTGTCTCCCTCTCTGGTTTTGTCTTGTTTCATTTTCCCCTCCCTTCCCCTATGATCCATTGTTTTGTTTCTCAAATTCCTCATATCAGTGAGATCATAAGATACTTGTCTTTCTCTGATTGACTTCTCTTAGCATAATACCCTCTAGTTCCATCCACATTGTTGCAAATGACAAGATTTCATATTTTTGATGGCTGCATAATATTCCATATTGTGTGTGTGTGTGTGTGTACCACATCCTCCATTCATCTGTCGATGGACATCTAGGCTCTTTCCATAGTTTGGCTATTGTGGACATTGCTTCTACAAACATTGGGGTGCATGTGCCCCTTCGGATCACTACATTTGTATCTTTGGGGTAAATACCCAGTAGTGCAATTGCTGGATCATAGGGTAGCTCTATTTTCAACTTTTTGAGGAACCTCCATACAGTTTTCCAGAGTGGCTGCACCAGCTTGCATTCCCACCAACAGTGTAGGAGGGTTCCCCTTTCTCCGCATCCTCACCAACAGGCTGAGATGTTTTCATTACACCGCCTTACTTCTGGAATTCAGCTAGCCTGACACTGCAATGACATCACTTTAGGTACATTAATATAGCAAAACTATTTATTTAAAGTAGGTCAATATTTTATTCAGTGAAGATGTTTTCCATCAGCAAATAGCGGAGAGATAATCGTGGGTAAAACACTGCTCTAGGTATATGTGAGACAGAAGGAAATGCACAAGTAGCTCACCAGCTGATTCCAAAACAGGTACGAAGGCATGAAATACGAAAACTTTAACACGGAAATATTATTGGTGCCTACTGTGTTTCTGGCGCTGGGCTAAGAACTAGAGACATGATGGGGTACAAGATTTAGCCATTGCTCTCAAGGAAAATAAGCAACAATCATGAAAAATTAAAAAAAAATTGTTTGGCATGGGAGTAGGAATGGGGAAGAAGAATATCAACAGATCCATTGGGTTTTGTTTTGTCTGTTTCAATTCTCACTGGATTACATGAGCCTCGTGTTCTACTCAAATTTTAAAGACAGAAATGGTAGGTTTATCTGAAATATTTATTGAGCACTGACTCAGGCTATATCACACTATCTCAGGATCAGGAACAATTATTTTAGTCAGTCGATCAAAGTATACACAAGGCAAATAGTTATATCATAGCTAGGTTTATTGAGAACTTACCATGTAGGAGCGAGGTATGTTACATTGTCTTCTTTATATGCTTCATAACACTCTATGACATAACAAGTCCCCATCTGGAAGATGAGAAAATTGAGGCTTAGAAAGTTAACATAGTCAGTGAGTGGTGGGACCAGGCATTCTGCTTCCAGCCCACACTCTTATCACTGCAGCGTGAGATTATTTCTTGTCCTGAAACACCAGCTCTGCCCTCATGGTGAATTTGGTTTCTGTTGGGGGTAGGTAGTGATTCAGGGAGGCCTCCAGGCTTGGGTAAGAAACGGGGATATGTGTGTGCACACCTGTGTGTCTGAGATGAGTCTACCACTCTGCCATTTTAATTTTTTTTAAAGATTTATTTGAGATCGAGAGAGAGAGAGAGCGCGCGAGCGCATGTACATGCACATGCGTGCAGGGGGTGGGGCAGAGGGAGAGAATCTTTAAGCAGACTCCCTGCTGAGCCCAGAGTCTGACTTGGGGCTTGATGTCAAGAGATCATGACCCATGAGATCATAACCTGAGCCAAAACCAAGAGTCAATCGCTCCACCGATTAAGCCACCAAGGCGCCCCACCACTCTGCCATTTTAAATTTAAGCAAAGCTAACAAGCTAGTAAATATCAGCAGCCCGGGGCGCCTGGGTGGCTCAGTCGTTAAGCGTCTGCCTTTGGCTCAGGTCATGATCCCAGGGTCCTGGGATCGAGCCCCGCATCGGGCTCCCTGTTCGGCGGGAAGCCTGCTTCTCCCTCTCCCACTCCCCCTGCTTGTGTTCCTGCTCTCACTATCTCTCTGTCAAATAAATAAAATCTTAAAAAAAAAAAAAAAAATAGCAGCCCATAACCCCATCCTGTACTGGTGGAGTCAAAACTGACTTTTTGCAGCCTTTTCCTTCCCAAGCAGTCCTTAAGTTTAGTTTGGATAGAAACATGAAAGGATGGGGAGGAGGTACCCAGATGGCCTTTTCATTCCTGAGGAAGGTACACTTGCAAGGCAGTCTTGATCATAATGGCCTTCACCATGCATCTGCGTCACCATCATTTATTTTTAAGAACTTGTGGAGGAGATCAAAACAAAGCATTTTTGGCCCTGATCAACCAGTTGGAAAACATGGTCTAAGTTCTACAGAGATTCTTGTTCCCTGACTTCTAGAGCAGGGCTTCTCAAAGCTTACTGTGAATGCAAATCACTTGGGGATCATGTTAAAATGTAGACACTGATTCAGTATGTCTGGGGCCTGAGATTCTGCATGTCTAACAAGCTCCCATGTGATGTTGATTCACCTGTCTGCAGATTCTCCTTGGAGGAGCAAAGGTCTAGAGGACAAGGATCGTCATTCTATTGCAGCTGGTCTTGACCACACTTCAGTGTTGTGGCTGTGCGTGAGGAAGAGAGAGAGTGTGTGTGTGTATTTGTGTATGAATGTGTGTATGTATATAGGCTTATGCATATATGTGTGTGTTTGAGTGTATGTTTGTGTCGTGGAAATAACTGAAGAACAGACAAAAGCTATTCAGAGCTTGCTCTAGCAAGAGTCAGCCACTAACATTTGTGTTTGGCAGAGACTCAAAGGCAGGCAGAGGAGGGGGAAACCTTCTTGGAGGGAGAGAAGGGCAGCTTTCAGTATGCTCTGATTGGAGGCTCTTGGCAGGGGGAGACTGGAGGTGGGCTAACAAGCAGCATCCTATATGACTAATTACGGGTGCATATTTGGCTTTCTCTAGTTGGTCCCGAGTTAGAAGAAAGGAAGACTCTACTTTCCAGCCATCTTCTCCATCCCAATGACTCAGAGTTTAATGGTGACTTTTCCTTTTGTCTCATTGTCCCAGAGGTGTAGTAGTGGGTTTAGGATATTCAACAAGGAGGAGAAATTTCTCAACCCAAATGAAAAGAAGACATTTTCTGAAAATAGTTCAAAGTATGAAGAATGTATCCTGTGGACAAAGGGCGAGATCCTTGGGAAGGGAGCCTATGGTACAGTAAGTTAAATGGGAAACATGATGAAACCCCAAATCCCCACTCCTTCTTGACCCACCCTTTCCTTCCTAATCCTCTCGTGCCCTCCCCACGCTGTAAACTCTTTGACTTGGAACTTTTTCAATTGGAAGTAATAGGAAACCCAACCCAAACTGGCCTGGGGGAAAGGATGTTCACTGGTTCATGTAACTGAAAGGTCTGGAATAGGTGTGGCTCTGGACATAGCTGATTTCAGGGGTCAAACAATGTCACTAGGGTCTGGCCTCTCTGTATGTCTCCTAATGGGTCTCATTCTCAGGGTCTATGTGGTGGGGCAATGGCCAATGTATTTCTAACCTCTCATTCTCCTGGGTCCAAGTCCAGTGGGAGAGATGTCTCATGGCTCAACAGCTCAGGATGTTACCAGAAGTTGGGAGAACCATTGTTGAGTGGCAAAAACAAAAAAATGTTCCTTACAGTTTTTGAATTGCATCAGAGACCATCTAATTCCTAGCACATTAGATAGTATTTACATAGATTGGTAAAAAGAAGACCGATCCCCAGATAAGACAGGTTATTTTTCAGCTGGGGACATATCAGCAAGAAGCTGGAAAGACATGAAACCACTGAAGACACATGATGGGGTCACTGCCAAATTACCCCAGGACCTGCGTTCCTCTCTCTCCTTGGAGCTTTAGCACTGAAATAGGCGTTTCACTTATTTGGTGAGGAGTTTTCCCAGTGTAGTCATGTAGATATCTGTGAGGTAAGAATTATCACCTCCATTTTATAGATGAGAAAAACCGAGGTCAAAAAGATTATACAACTTACCCAAAGTTACATACCTGGGGAATGGTGAGGCCAGGATTCTAACCAATCCAGGCCACTTGACTCCAAGCCAATATGATATCCATTCACCATGCTACTCATCCCCATTTTGGCCTCACTGAAACATTGAATTTGCTTAGGTACTTTGCATTTAGGTAGGGATGTGTCAACTTAGAAGAATACAAGGGTTTGGGAGGAGAAGGGAAAGACGAGCGTCACCTGAGGCATTTTGTGAACAGGTTATATAATTTAAATTTAATAATAAGGTTTGCTTCTAGGTATATTGTGGTCTTACTAGCCAAGGACAGCTAATAGCTGTAAAACAGGTGGCTTTGGATACTTCTGATAAATTAGCTACCGAAAAAGAATACCGGAAACTGCAGGAAGAAGTAGATTTGCTCAAAGCACTGAAACATGTCAACATTGTGGCCTATTTGGGGACATGCTTGGAAGAGAATATTGTAAACATTTTCATGGAGTTTGTCCCTGGTGGCTCAATCTCTAGTATTATAAACCGTTTTGGGCCATTGCCTGAGATGGTGTTCTGTAAATATACAAGACAAATTCTGCAAGGTGTTGCTTATCTCCATGAGAACTGTGTGGTGCATCGAGATATCAAAGGAAATAATGTCATGCTTATGCCAACCGGAATAATAAAGCTAATTGACTTCGGCTGTGCCAAGCGTTTGGCCTGGGCTGGCTTAAATGGCACCCACAGTGACATGCTCAAGTCCATGCATGGGACTCCATACTGGATGGCCCCGGAAGTCATCAATGAGTCTGGCTACGGAAGGAAGTCAGACATCTGGAGCATTGGCTGCACCGTGTTTGAGATGGCCACAGGGAAGCCTCCACTGGCTTCAATGGACAGGATGGCAGCCATGTTTTACATTGGACCACACCGAGGGCTGATGCCTCCGTTACCAGAACACTTCTCGGAAAACGCAGCGGACTTTGTGCGCGTGTGCCTAACCAGGTAGGAAACTGAACACAGGCGGAGGAGAAATCCGTAGGGAGTCCAAGATTGCTGACATTTCCCCTGCAGCTTATGGCCCACAAAAAAATCAAGCAGGGAGTGATTTTGTACTGGAAGGAATCATGGTTAACCACATTGGGTGATTGTGCTCCTCATTGCATCGGGGTAGGGAGGGTAATGCCTCAAGTAGCAAGTGTCTCAATTAAATGTCTTATCAGGGACAGACAAATCAATGGGTGTGTGAACATTGCTAAAGATCTACTTATTTATGAGTGGGATGTCTTCCGAGGGACTGGTCATGGTGCAATGATATTACCTGTGCTTAGGTTCCCCTTTCCTGAGCTGCCTTTCCTCTCAAGGAACCGGTGTTCCCACCTCCTTCCTCTTTTTTTTTTTTTTTAATTTATTTATTTGAGAGAGAGAGAATGAGAGACAGAGAGCATGAGAGGGAGGAGGGTCAGAGGGAGAAGCAGACCCCCTGCCGAGCAGGGAGCCCGATGCGGGACTCGATCCCGGGACTCCAGGATCATGACCTGAGCCGAAGGCAGTCGCTTAAACCGACTGAGCCACCCAGGCGCCCCTCCCACCTCCTTCCTAAAACCGGCTCTCAGGAAAGTATGTGAGAAAGTCATTCATATTGAGGGATTGATATGAATTGACTGATTGATGACTGACAGATTTAATGTGTCGGTCCCCCCAGAGACGCTGGCATCCAAAATGAGGGGAAACATTTGAGCCTTGGAGCCAAAGGAACAAATCTCTAATTGAAGCATTTTATGCATCAAATGTGGGGAATAATTGGGGAAGCAGAAAAGTAGCAGAAAGTTGTCTGTTTTTTCCTGTTTTGATGCTCCCTAGTATCTATGGAATAAAATGTTGGGTAAAATGTTAGAAGGGACCTTAGAGATTACCCACTTGTGTGGTTTTCAAACTTTTCTTAGCCAGGCATTCTCTGCTCGTATGAATTTCTTTGCTTTTATTTTTTTTAAATAGACTCATGCCTAGCATGGAGCCCAGTGTGGGGTTTGAACTCACAACCCTGAGATCAAGACCTGAGCTGCGATCAAGAGTCAGAATCTTAACTAAGCCACCAGGCACCCCTCATACGAAATTTTAATTCAAAGAATAAAACATAAGAGCAGAGAGATGGCTCTGGTTAAAGTATGTGTGTATGTGCGTATGTATATGGTGAGGGAGAGCTGAAGTGTAGGGTGGGGTGCCGGAGCCCACCCGCCTGGCCTCTATCCACACCTAGGAGGCTCAACATTTAGTTGTACATGCAGGACGAGGAAGGCTGTCTTGCTTTCAAAGAAGTGTGCATTCTTTTTCCTCGATAAAAAATTCTAGCGCTCCAGCTTTAAGCAAGCATACATGGCAAACTCCAATTCCCGGAATGGGTTCATTTTTTTCTTTCTTAATGAATCTCAAAACCCACAGTTCTCCCTGCCTGCTGACCAATGTGCCTCTCTCTTTCAGACTCTGTCTCTCTTTGCCATCATGTGTACCATTGTCCTGGTTGATTTCAGGGGATTGCTCAGGACGAGGCAGGAACACATACTCCATGCTCCAGTTCTGGGCATCCTCAGATGTAGACACCATAGGCGTTCCAGTGTGGATTTTGTGGACAGAGCCCCAGGCACAGAGCTGCCCCTTGTTCCCCGCAAAAAACCTCACACGAGAGACATAAAGGTGTTAGAAACATCATATGAACCACTACTAGTTTTGGAATTGGTCTTAGCTCTTAAGACTACTATAGTTGCTCTGTTCTGAATTGAACAATTATCTATTATTGATCCACAGAAACTACATGCTATTTTCATTTTTCTTTTGAGTTATCATTATTCATACACACACACACACACAGAGCTTTAAAGAGAAAGGGTGAAATCTTTTTTATGGCTCTCCTTTTGAAACATTGCTTCATGAACAAGCAATACACAACTCATACCATTAATGATAAATTAATAGGGTTGTTGTGAGAGTTAATGTAAATTGCTTAGCAGAGTATGGGGCACATAATTAGGGCTCCATAGTTATTAAATGTTTGGGAGAATACTAATACATCTGACCTAATTAGCATCATATACAAGCATAAAATTACCTCTTGAAATTCTATGGCAAAGACCCTAAGGACTCTAGAATCTTGCCTTATGACGATATTCCTTGGAGGTGTGGATAGTCAGAAATAAAGTGGGGGGGGAGGCACTGCTAAAGATTCAGAAGTACAGGTGACTAGGTGTTGACCAGAACAAGGACTGAATAGATCAGAAATGAACTTTGGGGAGCAATAGGATGTGTGAGTGGGGGTACTCCTACGGGCAGGTTGAAAATCTGGGAAGGGGTGCCTGGGTGGCTCAGTGGGTTAAGCATCTGCCTTCGGCTCAGGTCATGATCCCAGGGTACTGGGATCGAGCCCCACGTCGGGCTCCCTGCTCAGCGGGGAGCCTGCTGCTCCCTCTGCCTGTGGCTCCCCCTGCTTGTGCTCTCTCTGCCAAATAAATAAATAAATAAAATCTTAAAACAAAAAGAAAGTTCTGGGAAGTCAGGCCAAGGCAGTTAGCTTTGTTGCAATAGGCAGCGAAGAGCAGGGGACTGTAAAGAATTTGGGGCAGATCAGGCTGTAAAGAAACTGGCCTTTGGGAAAGCAAGTCGGATGGCAGTGCATCGAAGGACTTCACACGGAGCTGCTTGAGACTAGAAGGCCAAGCAGGAATCCACAGCTTGGACTTGGATGGTGGTGGAAGCAGTGGGACTATAAAGAGAAGGGTTCCAAAACATTCCAGAGGAAGGTGAATCAGGACTTGGTGATGGGGCATGATGGGACTGCATGGTTTTGAGTATGGATAATGGAAGAAATAATAGAAAGTTGTGAAAGAGGAGCAGGGGAGGGAATTGAAGAGGGCCCACCATTTAAGGAAATTTTCGAAGCTATGGGATTGGAGCTCAGGAAAGCAAATGAGATTGGAGGTCCATCTTTAGAAATCCGAAGGTTGGTAGCTATAGTCATGAACAACTTAAGGGGGCTGAGGAAAATTTTATTGAAAATGCTCAGGGGAGAAGTAACAACAGACATAACATCAAGTCTAGCACGTGGCTGAAGGAAAGGAGGGAGGGAGGGAGGGGAGTTGTCCCAAGGCCGGAGAAGAACCAAGAAAAGTTTCCTCCAAGTCTATGCAGAGATCGTTTTGAAAGGAGGGGGTAGTGAATGCTTCAAATGCTACTGTAGAGATGACAAGGAGGATGAACTCATTACATTTGGTAATGAGAGGATCATGGTTAATTTTACGAGGGCAATTTCTATAGAGAGGAATGGGCCAAAGGGTAAGGTTTGGGATAATGAATGTTGGAAAAAAAAAAAGTCAATGGGTTTGGCTATGTTAAGGAAAGAATTTTTGGAGAGGAGAGATTTCTGCGTATTTTGAAGACAGGAGAAAGGGCTTCCAAAAGTGGAGGTTTTATTTCAAAATAATTTATGGTCACTGTATCTTTATGTCCATTTTCATCTGGGCTATCCTGGTAGTTATCCCCTGCACCTCTCCCCATCCCCCCACTGCCTCCATTCCCTGCCACCCAAATTATCAAAAGATAGCCAATTTAGGCAAAATAATGTCTTTGGAATAGGTCATTGCAGATAACTATTGACTGGTTCACGGCTTCATTGTTCACTGTTTATTGGCAAAATTTTAATTTGAGGAAAAATAACCTAAACCAAAATAGTACCAAGTGTATAACTGTCTCCCATTACTTTATGCTCACCCAAGAGTGCCCCAAATGGGATTATTTCAATTAATCACCAAAACACATTTAAATGTCTACATCTTTTAGTTTTTATTTTATATATTTTTAAAGATTTTATTTATTTGACAGAGACACAGCGAGAGAGGGAACACAAGCAGGGGGAGTGGGAGAGGGAGAAGCAGGCTTCCCGCTGAGCAGGGAGCCCGATGCGGGGCTCGATCCCAGGACCCTGGGATCACGACCTGAGCCGAAGGCAGACGCCTAACGACTGAGCCACCCAGGCGCCCCTACATCTTTCATTTTTTAAAAGATTTTATTTGAGAGAGAGAGAGAGGGAGTGCACAAGTGGGGGGGGGGAGGAGCAGAGGACAAGGGAGAAGCAGGTTCCCTGCTGAGCGCAGGGCCTAACATGGGGCTCGAAGATCATGACCTGAGCTGAAAGTGGTCGCTTAACCGAATGAACCACCCAGGTGCCCCTTCTTAAAGGCTTTTTTAAAAAAAGATCTTAGATTTTATTTTGAGAAAGAGAGAGAGAGAGAGAGGGAGAAAAGAGTGGGGGAAGGGGCAGAGGGAGAGAGAGAATCTCAACCAGACTCCTCACTCAGCGCAGAGCCCAACACAGGGCTCGATCTCATGACCCTGAGAACATAACCTGAGCCAAAATCAAGAGTCAGATGCTTAACCAACTGAGCCACCCCCTTAAAGGATTTTCAGTTCTGGATTCCAGTGCCTCTAAGTTTTAAAAGTAAATTTAATGCTAGTTAAAAGTGCATTAAATTGTACATCTACAAGTGTGGGTCTTACTGTATAAATTACACCCCAAACTGAACAAAAGTACAATGGGAAAGTAGGGCCTAGTTTTTAATAATAGTGACTACTTTTTGAACTATCACTATGTGCCAGACACTGTTCAAAACTTGTATATACATTATTTCTCTCAAGGAGTTAGGTGTTATTGTTATCCCCATTTTACTGATGAGAAGAGTTTAGGTCACTGACCTAATAAGCTCACACAGCTAAAGGCTTAAGTGTGGACTCAAATCTGTTTGGCCAAGATTGTACATCCATTTTTATTTTAAAATTTTTTAAAGATTTATTTATTTTAGAGGGTGCACGCACATAAGCAGGGGTGGGGGAGGGGCAGAGGGAGAGGGAGAGGGAAAGAGAGAATCTTTAAGCAGACTTCCCACTAAGTGCCGAGTCTGACGTGGGGCTTGATCCCAGGACTGAGATCATGACCTGAGCCGAAATCAAGTCGGTCACTTAACCGACTGAACCACCCAAGTGCCCCTGTACTTCCGTTTTTAAAGTTGGCATTTTGAGTCAAGTAGATCCAGTTGGGAGGCACTAATGGGGTGCTGTTTCTAAATTGTTTTTCCCTTCTTAGGGACCAGCATGAGCGACCTTCTGCCACCCAGCTCCTGAAGCACTCCTTCTTGGTAAGAAGTCACTGAATGTACATCCACTTTTCTCTCCAGTTCCTTTACAGGCACTGTGATTGCTTCATTGTGGGAATGATGGTTAAGGGACCTTTGTTTTCCTACTACTGAGTCAACTCAACCCAATTTAACTAGATCCTGCAGTGTCGCTAACTAGTAATTTTGCTACGTATTAGCCTCCTCAAGCTTCAGGCATGGTTACACATGTATATGAGAACATTTTCTTCAACATAACAACAAAAAACCTATTCCAGTGTTTACAGCTTTGGACTGTCCAAGAATTACAATCTCTATTCCTTTGTAGGATTCTACCTTTTAGTTTTGGTCTATCAATTTTAATGTCCTTAAATTGTAAAAACAAAAAAAATTGTTTTGGCTTGGTGGGTAAAGACATTTATTTCTGGGAAAGGAAATGAAAGGAAGGTGAGAAATTAAAAACTAGAGAGATGCTAGATTCTGTTTACTTTGGCAGCAATCTTAACTTTGCAGACTACAGGAGCCTCAAAGTTAACAGGAAGAGCTAAGGGCCTTGGCATTTCATTATCAGAGGGTCCCCTAAGTTTCCACCTACAAGAAGCTGTACTGTTCAAGGTGGCTCCATACACCTCAGGCTGCTTTCCCTGTAATTTATAGTATGACCTGAAGACTTCACTTATTTGCAGGGTGCATTAAGTCATGGCACATCTAGAACTAGCTAAACCTAAGCCTGCTAGTAGGACAAAAGCTAGATCTGATCAAGGGGAGTGGGTCAGCATATAAATTTTTTTCAGGGCTCATTTCACCTGAATGAAGGACATCCCCAGTGAGGTCACTTTTTTTTTTCAAGGATTTATTTATTTGAGAGAAAGAGCGATAGAGCAAGCAGAGGGAGGGGCAGAGGGAGAGAAAGGATCCTCAAGCGGACTCCTGGCTGAGTGCAAAGCCCGACATCAGGATCCTGAGATCATAACCTGAGCCTAAATCAAGAGTCAGACGCCCAACCGAGTCACCCAGGTACCCCCTGAGGTCACTCTTCATTTCTAGAACATTGATAAACCTCATCAGAAAAAGTGGACAAGTTGTCAGAATTATTACAATGCCTTGTTTTAAGTTTGTGGAAGAAGCATTGTTAATTAAGGTTTCTACTGCTGATTCCACTCATCTACTAAATTTCATTGACACCTATTGTTTTGAGCTATTTCTATAGAATCTTTTTACTGGCTGCTATCATTTCAAAGTGGCACAATTACAAACTAACTTCAGATGTATTCTAACACCAGTTGTCAGGCTTTGTCAAAATCAAGCTGGTTCTTCAGAAGTTTTTGAGAAGCAACTGAAATGCAGTCAAGCTGAGATAAAAGATTTTACTTTGGCCGACATGTTTAGATACGTCTTTCTGGGTATACCTTCCTTCTTTGTAATTTGTACAGTTTTCTCATATTTGATCATTTAAGAGCTACGTCCCTCATTTACTTGTTTATCAGCATAATCTGACAAAATGAAGTATTTTGTTAAAGTGGTTTTTAAAAAATGTTAGTTGGGGGGCGCCTGGGTGGCTCAGTTGGTTAAGCAACTGCCTTCGGCTCAGGTCATGATCCTGGAGTCCTGGGATCGAGTCCCGCATCAGGCTCCCTGCTCAGCGGGGAGCCTGCTTCTCCCTCTGACCCTCCCCCCTCTCATGTACTCTCTCTCATTCTCGCTCTCTCAAATAAATAAATCTTTAAAAAAAAAAAAAAGTTTGTTGGGATCTTAAGCATTCTTTAAAACCTGGATGGTTTTATCTGATTTAGGAGCAAATAAACTACATATGGGAAAGGCTAGGGAGCAAAGCATATTCTGTACACACGTGTATCATAGCAATGGACACATGAAGTTGGTGCTAACAACCCTAACCCTCTTTATAGAACACTGAACACAACTTTGGAACAGAACCTTCAAAATTTTTTTCAGTAGGTGACCCTTGGTCCTAAGAGTTTTGTTTTGTCATTCCTTGTGTTTAAGACATAACAGGCTGGAACTCTGCTCTTATCATTGCCCAGATGTTTGCTCCCTTTTTATCTTCCTTTGGGAGGAGTGTCTGAGAGGAGATAGGGAGTACAGTTAAGTGGTCACGGGAAGGACTAGCATTTCCTGAGCTCTTAATATAAAAAAGCACCTCATTTAATTCTGTTGTTTGGTTTTCTCATTTTGTTAAAGAACGATAGGGTTGAGAGCTAAGTGACGTTCTCAAGGCCATCTACTGGTAGGTGGAAGTCAGGACAGCCAGTCATTTGTGTGACTTTACAGCCTGCTGCCTCTCAGATGTGTGGTTTATAAATACAGTTACATTGTTAAGTTTTACCCAAACAAAACCCCACTGCGATGCTGATTAACAAATTCCACCAGTCGAGTTAGTGACTTTGGTTACTTTAATGGTGTGAAAAGCTTTTCCTTTTTCACTTAGCCACAGCTCCCTTTTCACCACTCACAATGCTTGTTTTTAATTATATTCCCAAGTACACTTCATTATGTACTGAATCTTCCTGTCTGCTCCACCAAAGGAAATCTAACTCCCCAGAGCAGTTCCAACTCTACAGCACTTCCCTAACTTGAACCTACCTTAGTCCTTGCACGGGAGACATTTCTCAGTGGCGGAGTGAGGACAGCTGCCAGAGTGGCAAAGAGCAAGCTCTGGAGTATGGGACTGGTGTGTCCAGGACTCCACCATCCACTTCCTCCAGCACGACCACTACAGCAGTCTGACGCCTACACTGGAAGGAATAGGTCCAAGATAAAAACCACTTATCTGCTCAATGAGCAGTCAAAAGCCCCCATCACCTACCAGGCCATCTTTATTCCTCGTACGTGCTGCACTTGCAAGTATTAATTCAGCTTAAAGCCGCTATGTAAGGTAGAAACTTGCATTTTAAAAAAGCTTTCCAGGAGATTCTGTCAACATTAAAGTACCCAATGTAGGCAGTCTGTATGTCCACTGGTGATCACTACAATTAACAAGAGTGCAAAACTGGAATAGCAAACAATTCTGAGGAAAAGCTCAAGTACTTTGTCCTACTGACATCACTTTTCACACTTGTGCAAAACTATGGCTGAATTCATCTGTAGAGTAATTGCTCTTATGGACTATAACTTGAAAGGCTAAAACAAAACTCAAACCTAAAACTGACCTTGGGTATATGCCCTGACACTTGTAAGGTCTAAAAGCTCTTAATTTCATGGCAATAAAAGAAAAACCCTTTCATCTGTGAGGCTCTTCACTGCTTTGGAGGGTGGTACTGGGGAGGGGGAAGAAGGCAGTTCATACAGCAGAGCTAAAACAAAAATGTACAATTGTTCTCATTGAGAACAGCAGGGCAAAAAAAGAGGGAAGAGACAATGGAGTAGGATGTATTACAAAACGGAATTACTAACTTTAGTAAGGTGGAATTGACAAACTTTGTAATGTTCCTAAATAAAACTCATGCAATTTATTATATGCTAATACAACAAGCCCTTACTGGTGTTATCAACAGAAGATTAAGACAACTCTCTTTCAATTGATTTCAAAACATTTATTTTACATTTAGGCTTAAGATGCATTTTAGAGAAAGTAACTTTTCTATCCTAGTTTTATTTTATTAAAGCCACTGCATGGCTTCAATGTTCTTTCAAGGGGAAGGTGCAGGTAAATCGGTGGGGAAGGCAAGGGGTTGGAGAGAGCAGCAATAATAAAGTAGTTTATGATTGAATATTTTTTCATGGATAACCCCCCTTCCAGATAATTGCAATTCCTCTTTGCTTTGTGGGGAGGTGATTCAACAGTTTAACCAAGAAAATCCCGAAGTATGAATTAGAATGAACAACTTAAATTCTGTAAACAATAGGCATGCAGTTTAATACACACCCAACTTTAATGCACCTGGACTGGATTTCATCATTCCCTCCAATAGCTAAAACATACCTCTTTCAAGAATCTCATCAATGCCACCTATTTAGCCTTCCCTGATCGCCCAAACCTTAAACCTCACAACCCTATGAATAGGTACATTTTGTAGGTAAGGAAATCAAGGCACAAAGTCAAGTAATTCACCACAAGGACATCAGCTACCAAGTGGTGGGTCTGAGACTAGAATACAATCTGAATGAACTCAAAGGCCACACTCCTTGAAGATTTATGAAGTTACTCAAAGAGAAACTTAACATTAAGACCTTATTTCCCAGGGACTGAAAGTTATTTCTGATTCACATTAACAGGACATGTTACAGCCTTGGATTTACATTTTCAATAAACAAATTTTATTAATAATTCCTCGTAATAGATACTGTCCTGAAATTCTGTAACTAACTAAATTCATGCCACACACACATTCCTGTTTTGGATTTTCTATCAGCAAACACCCTATTCAATAGTCTTTGTGGGTTTTGAGCATATTCAGAAAACAAAATCCCAATCATTGCGGACAACAAATGAGTACAGGTGAAGTTTTTCAAACCAAGTGAAGCTGCTTGAAAAAAACACCTTAAAAGAAAGAATGTATTCATTACTTAACAACAGGCAAATCAAACAACTACTAAACAGGTTTTAAGCGAGGCTTCCGCCCAAAAGTTAGAAATAAGGGAAATTAGCTCTCAGAATTTCCTTTGGGGTTAAAGGATCACAGTGAATGGGTGAACTCACCTTTATGAAAACAATTACTCCTAGCTGTACAACCTTCAATGTATCTTGCTTATCAACCTATTCTAAAGAACCTGTCAGGTGAAAATAGATACTAGTAAATTATACGGAACAGAAAAAGAGGAGTCACAGAAGCAAAAGCTGGCTGAGTCCAAATCGACACTGTGGAATAAAAAATGGATGCATATAAAATCTTAAAAAAAAGGGGGGGGGCGCCTGGGTGGCTCAGTCTTTAGCGTCTGCCTTCGGCTCAGGTCATGATCCCAGGGTCCTGGGATCGAGCCCCTCATCGGGCTCCCTGCTCCATGGGAAGCCTGCTTCTCCCTCTCCCATTCCCCCTGCTTGTATTCCCTCTCTCGCTGTGTCTCTGTCTTGTCAAATAAATAAAATCTTAAAAAAAAAAAAAAAAAAAAAGGATGCATGGCCAATCAGACCTAAAACACTGAGCATTCCAGACCCACTGGCAAGATCATCTCTACTATAAAGGCAAACTTCCCTTACAAAATAAGCGCACTTCTAATTTGGCTTACAGCAATCAAATTTCAGGTATTAGAGGAATTGTGAATTCTCAAATTAATACACTGGTATCATAACTTGGTACCCTAGGAGGGCAGAGACAGAATGTACTGTTTTCCAACGCAAAGATCCCCATCTAAATCAGCCTACCATAAATATCCAGGCACACAAGATTACCAAGTATCATTCTGTGAGCTCAGTTAACGCAAGTTTCCTGGGTGTGGGATTCACTAATCCTTCATCTGGGTAAATGCAGTTAGTGAACCCTACTGCCTCCCAAGAAAGCCTCTTGAGCAAAAGATTGCTAAATCAAAGATTCTTCACAAGAGCTCTCAAATTTTTCTCAGCAGAGATCTTAAAAGTCACCTAGCAATTTAAGCACAGTAGTAGCTGAAGAAACCACTGCTTACTGTTTAGATAAAATGTGGAAATGGTGAGATATTTTGAGAATATAACTGTCTTCCTTCAGAGCTACTACCATGTTAAAAAAAACCAAATCCTCCTTATTTCCACAGTAAATGCAAAATACCCTAACATATCTAATCAACCCAAGATACTTCTACAGTACACAAGTCATGCATAGGTATGCACTGGTTTATTTCTAAGGTTGGTTATGGAATAAAAACCAGCAATTTAAATTCTCAAATATAACCAAAAAATTTGCTTAAAATGCTAGGAAAGGCAACTGGTAACTAACAAAAACATTTAAAATTTGGTTCTCTGAAGAAGACCAGTCATTTCTTTAGGTCAAGGAAGACAGACCAAAAAAAAAGAAAAAGAAAGGTATTCTACCTAATTATAATCTGTTGGTACAAAGTCATGCAAGCACCTCTCATGACATTCCACACGAAACCACTGCTATATCATGGTAGAAATCTGGACTCAACAACTCTAACCAGAATGCACCTGCACACACAGAGAAAGATCAAGATGCACCTGTGACTGCTTTCAAAGACAAACCTAAGAAACTTCAGGTTCAACAACAAAAGGGAATTGGGACATTTTGCAAGGTCTTACCCCTAAAGGATACCGCTAAAGTTTGGTACAGCAGGCCTTCCAAGAATGTTTCAGTGAAAAAACACTCTGATTTTTGGTTCTGAAAACATATTTTAAAGTAGCTAAGGCATATATTTAGGGGGCACAACTCAATACTGGAAAGCTACTTAAAGAGGTAGAAGTTAAGCCTTTCTATGCAATGTGCTTCTGCATAAAGGTAACAAAACTATGATCTAGGGAAAAGACAACTGAAAAATGAACCACTCTTTTAAAGGATGTTCAAAGATAATGCTTTTTAATATTTCAAATATTAAAAAAAATCTCATCAAAAATGTAAATCACCTTAACAGTACTTTGCACATGTGGAATTTCATACCTAAATTTGATGATACTATTTTGGTTTATTTATGGCTACTTACAAGAAGACTCAATAATAATGTCCATTCATTGGAGTCTTTTTCTTTGGTTGAGCCTATTGGGACCAGGCTGATGAACTCTTTTATGCAAATGAGATGGGGAAAGCAAATTAATGGTAATATGAGTAATAGGGGTTTTCATTTAATGGAAATGAAACTTAAAAGGATTTTCATATTCATCCCCATGGTGGTTTTAGAACCTATAAACCTCTTCAGAGGTTAAAGAGTTTGAATAGCTCACACAATCCTGTACAAATTACAACTGGCTGCCCTTTAATAAATAAAGTCATTGTAAAGAATTACATTTACAGAGTGAAAAGTGAATACATAGCATTTCAAATTCAATTTTGGAAGTACTAATAAGTACTGACCCATAACAATATATACTAGCTACCTTTTAAACTGTCCATCATTAGCACCAATAAAGATTCAACAAAATCACCTTTATTCCCACATCTCAAAACAATTCTGCAAATTCTTAGTGAAGTTTAAGTATAGTCACAGACCTTAAATATTCACATTGTTTTCTATGTCATACTGAAAATAAGTTCACTACTTTTTTGGATATTCTTTACAAAATCTTATTAAAATTCCTGGTATTATCATCCCCCATTATACAGTAGCACGACCACCCTATGTCGTTTCACATGATAGCTCCTTAGAGGTTTCACATCTAAATTACCAAGAACAAAACCCTTCCCCGCCCTCATCTTGCACTCAGCTTAATTCTATACTAGTCCTCAGATTATGTACCACTGTAAAAGTATAACTGTATCAAAATTACCATGTTTATGGATACAATAATATGCCATACAGAGCAACAAAGTTACATGTAATGACAAAGATTACTAACGTTATGCAAGACAAAGAACAAATGTTAGGACATGCTAGCTAGGCAAAGTCCCTAGAAAGAGGCTCCTAGTATCCTAAGTTCAAATAACATTGACAAAATAATGAACAATTATCTTAAAAAAAATTATAAAGCTACTGGCAAATTAGGTAATCGCTAAATAAAGGTAGAGCACGAGATTAAACGCTCTAATATTTACAACTGCAACATACTTGAGTAAAATTACAATTGTGCACATATCAGTGGCTTTGTAACAAAAATAATTCATATACATAGAGGAAAAAATTAAGACAGTTTTCAGTTCAACGAAAGTTGAAAATTCACCCCATCTAAAGACACTCAACAGCTCAAAGATTTACCACAGAATAAATTCAAGATTAGCTGATAAACCGGAGCCACATTACTGGTGTTTATGACAGATTTTAAGCAAGTTAAAGTCTATTGTTTGTTCAGAAGTTAGATGACTGTGCAAACTTGACCTCAACAGGAATATACTGAGATGTGCAAACAAATGTAAAACCTCCACTAGCTTGTTTACCTGGAGGCTAACCCTTTTTTCTCACAGAGCTTCCTGATAACAACCATAAGCTATAAATACAGGTACAATGCACAGTCAGTGATCTTTTCTTTTTATTTATTGTTAGAATATAAAAGAACTGAGAGAGCAACAGGTTAAGTTCATTTCTATAAGGAAGACTGCATTTACCTGAAAAAGGAATACGGCATCACACACAAACACACTTCATGGGAGGAGTATGTTTAAGAATATGGTGTCATTCTGAACACTAAAGGAAAAGCAATCCCTGTTTACTGTTAAAATATGTAGTGTTAAAGTTCTTTATTTAAGAAAAAAACTTACTAGTTCTTCACTATGTAAGTTTCGTGGATTTAGTTTTCAAATCACAGTAATCTACATAACCATTATTAACAGCTCTGTGTTTATAGTACTGCAACAAGCCGACAAACATTTCAAATGCACTTCACATCAAGAGTATGTAAACTTTATTTTTTCCTCTTCAAGCCTTCAGAAAATTAGGGGCTATTTCAGCAGCCCACCTGGTCAGAAGCTCTGAAGGCAAAAGTTCAGTGCCTCACAGTGTAAATACATGACCATCTGCGGCACTGCATACCCATCTGGTAGTGAAGTGTCCCCCCCTTCAGTGGCTTCCAGTAAGGCCTAGAGTTTAAGGTTAACATGAAAAAGTGCCACCTTTGTTTTAGATTAGTGATGGACTCTGACAAGATAAAATAAAGTTATTATCGTTATACTTACAAGCAGCTCCAATCCTGAGTATTTATGGTAATATCTAAACATACAAAAATGTATGTACATTTTTCTCCACTTTCTTGTAAACAGTTGTCAGTATACTGTTTTATCCCTTTATCATTGAAACATGCAAATCATACATACAAGTATAAATACACAAAAGAAAACAATTTACACTCATTCAAAAGCCAAGCAACAACAACAAAATAGCTACAGTATTCAAATTATAAATAATGAATGCTTGAGGCATCTTATATTCCTAGAAGCAGCCAGCCATTCATCCTAATGTTCTTAGCTGCAATTGTAGAAATACTGAGTTTTGCACCTTCCATGCTTTTACAGTATTTATAACACTATCATATGTGGAGATAAAGACTTGTTTACTATCATCTCTTCTTTTCAGAATGAAGAATAAAGCAGCACTTACAAATATTGATACAGTGGCAGCAAGAGCAGGTGTTACCACTGCTAGATCAGGAGAAAGTTTTCCATTCTAACCATTTTTAAATTAAAAAAGTAAAGGAAAAATGGACCTAAACAAATGATTACATGTTCATTCCTTGGGCACTTAACAGCGAGTCCAGCATGTCGAATGTGTCTTTGTAGTCCATATGCTGGCTGTTTGTACTGTACTCGTGATTGACATCAGGACCGTTGGTCTCCACTGGCTTCTTGTCCAGTTTCACGAGGGTGCTGAGATGTCCGTAGCCCACCTGGTATGTGACAGGGGGAGGAGGGGGTAAGGGATGGTTAAAAACAGAGTTGTGAGAGGATATATACTGCTTAACAGAGGAGGAAGAACTAGATGAACTACCTGAACTTTTGGAACTTTTGCTCATTTTGGAGTGATGGTTGTGAGATGCATCATTGACATGCAGCTTCTTCCTTGAAGAGCTGGAACTAGAGGAAATGCCATCACTGCTCAGGCCGACGGGACTCCTCAGAACAGCGGGTGGTATTCCGTCAGCACTGTGTTTACCGCCACCGCTGCCGCCACCACCATGTGAGTGGGAATGCTTGTGACTGCTAGGGTGGTGGCGGTTTGAGGGATGGTCCTTGTGCTTATTGTCCTTATGGTCTCTGCTAATATGTGGGCTCGAATGCTTGCTCTTCCCACTGCCCTCATCGGAAGAGCTGTGTCTTTCTGAGGAAGAAACTTTGATTTTCATTTTCAGTTCTTCTTTACTAGCACTCTTATCAGTGGGTGGTATTGGAATCCGTAATTTCAGTGATCCGCTCTTTTCCTTCTTTTCCGCCATGTATTTTTCAGGTTTTTCCGTATTTGTGATGGGAATTTTCATTTTAATGGGAGAAGTGACAGAACTGCTGCTGGCTGGCTGTGACTGCACGTGTTTGTGTTGCTGTTCTACTTGGGCAGCTACATAATGATCTCTCACATCCAGATCAAGGGTTTCTAGCTTACGCTTTTCTCTATATTTATCTAAAGACATTTTCTGAGGAATTACTCCAGGAGTAGCAGAAATTGGCCCATGGTGTTTACTGCTCCCTGCTTTATGAGCATATTCTTGCTTAATGGATGAATGATCGGAAATTCTGTCCGGTCTGTGATGTAATCCTGAATGCAGTGATATAGAAGGTCCCTGCTGGAAGTTGATGTTGTACTGGGTACCAGACAAAGATGTCTCTTGTTTCTGTGAATACATCTGTTCTGTCCTTGCTGATTCTTGATGTTGAGGCCATTCTTGGTGTGATGACAAACCATAGGAGGTACTTGGCATTCCTGTTGCCAGCATTGACAAATTATCAGATGTATGACTGTCTTGAACAGAAATATTTCCTGAATTTAGAGGTACTGGTGCAGGGAATGCTGATGTAGATGGTTTCTGAAAACTTGGGTTTGTAGGCACACCAGTAACACTATCTACTAAAATGGAATTCTGGACCAAAGATGAACCAAGAAGTGGCGTTTCTGAAACTTGTCCATCTACTTTTGGTTTCTTAGCCGCCTGATTAGCCTATTTAAATAAAACACAAAAGAAGCAATGACAGCAAAGGAATTTAATACAAATTTCCTTGCTTTATAAAAATCTATATTAAATATATGCAAACAAAATCACCTGGGGTTTAAGGCTTTATGTCACCAGTAAATAAATGTCTTATTTAGAGGCCCAAAAGAAGGCTGTAAAAAGTGGAAACCACTGGTTTCAGAGTTAGATACAGGTTAAATCCTAGCAAGCATTTGAGAAAGTAATTTAACTTGTCTAGGCTTTAATTTGCCCATTTGTAAAATAAGGAGAATATTTCCATTATAATCACCGTGAGAATTAAACACACAATTTATAAAGTACTTAACAAAGTCCACTGGACACAGCAGTTGAATAAACTATGAGTGTATGCAGCTTACAATACACTGTAATTATCTAGGAATACTGGAAATAAGGATATTTAACCAAAGAATTCAAACTGGTTAGCTATGTAATTGTTAGATAAGCGACAAACTGATATTCTATTAAACCCTGCCAATTCTCTTACCCTCCAGTTTCGAATCCTCTTCAACCTACTAGGTGTTTTCTCCAATATTTGTAGAAACTCATGTGTTAGCTCTAAAAATAAAATTTAAATTTAAAACTTAGAAGGTGTCTTTAGGATTTATATTTCTCTCAAGTGGGCAATATTAAAAAGGGGCCTCAAGAGTTCATCTACTTCACTGTCACCCTTCTATTCAACCTTCAGCACATATAGAAGTAGACACAGATCTGAACTGCTATTTTCAAAGATGAATTCTTAAAAAAAAAAAAAAAATCACTCTCCCCCCACCCCCATGCTTACTCAGAATCTCTGGAAAATTTAGTAGCATTAAAATTCCCCCCAAATAGAAAATCTTCATTAGGCAAACATCATAGTAATAATTATTGCAAGCAAGATCTATCAATAGATTCTTTAAAATTAATGGACAAAAGTTTGAGGAAAAAGAAGATATCTGTGTAATCCTAAAATACCTTCCTCAAGATATTTCATTACAAAGAGAAGACCAGTAACTTTACAATGGAGAAACTCAACAGATACCACCTTAACCAAGTGATCAGAGTTATTATTACCAGTAATAAGGTATACACTTTGAGAAAAACAAAACAAACAACCCTTGATATATGATGTAGCCCTTGATAAGATGTACAGGGTAAGGTACAACCCATTTCCCATTTCTGTGGTATTCTTGCCAAAAATACATAATTTCAATCTAATATTGAAAAATATTAAACCCCAAATGAGAAACATTCTATACTATAACTATTATTTTTCTTTTTCTTTTTTTTAAAGATTTTATTTATTTGAAAGAGAAGAGAGCACGTGTGCGCAAAAGCAGGGGGAGTGGCAGAGGGAGAGGGAGAAGCAGACTCTCCACTGAGCAGGGAGCCTGATGTGGGGCTTGATCCCAGAACCCTAGGATCATGACCTGAGCCGAAGACAGACGCTTAACTGACTGAGCCACCTTGGCGCCCCCAACCATTATTTTTCAAAGTGTCAAGGTCACAAAAGAAAATGAACAATAGAAAAACTGACATAATTTAGAAGAGATTTAAGGGGCATTTCAAGCAAATGGAACATGGGATCCTAGAACAGAAAAACTGAGGACATCAAATAAAACCTATAGTTAGGTAATAATATTGTAACAATGTTAATCTCTTGGTTTCGATAATCATGTATGTAAGATGTTAACATTAGAGAAACCTGGTAAAGGGTATATAGAAACTGTACTATTCCGTAGTTTAAGTTTAAAATTATTTCAGTGTTAAATGAAAAAAATTTTTCCGTCTATACTCAGATTCCTAGTAATTATTACTATTAACTATTAGTAAAACCGCCCTGGTCATATATTTTTACGTCACTTTTTTCTTAAATTTGGGATTACAGTGAGATGACTCACTTTTCCAAGGTGGTGCAGTGATGAATTCTACTTTCCTAACCCCAAAATAGTGCCATTAATAAAGCTATTGACCATTCAAGACAAATATTCATACCAAATGAATTACAATATCATGTAATATCAATAATGCCAATTCAGTAGAGACTACATAGATTCATTTATTATTTTTTGAGTATACACAGTAAGCTTCTCTATGAATGATTCTAGGCAAATATGCCAAGACTGATAATGAAAATTCAGACAATACAAAATTTTTCTTGAAGCAAAAAATGTGCAAAACCTCGGCACTTATTATATGTTCATAAGCTGTGTTAAACCTGCTCAAGATTCATGAACTTTTCGATCCAATTTGAATGAAAACAATCTAATGCCTAGACTACCATTCTTCCTAAAATACCCCCAACCTTTTTCTACTTGGACACTTAATAATCTGTCAAATAATCACTGCTAATCTATTAGTTATGTGCACAAAAATCACAGATGATGCTTAAAATAGAGCTTTTCCCTTCAAAGCTACTATACAGAAAAAAATTCAAAATGCAAAAAACACACGAGGGTTTGTTATTAATCAGAAAATAAAAACTCTGCAAAGCAACAAATGTTACAGGTAGGCCAAGTCCAAGCCAACGGTGTTTTTGCAACAGTCATTAAATGAATTATTTTAGTGAACACTGATGCTTAGACACCAGGCTAAAATTCAGATATATCTTAATATCTTAAACTGTTACTTTTCTCTCTCTTTTTTTTTTTTTGTGATTAAAACACAGAGAAAGACTGCTATATGAAATGCTGAAATTGTCAATGTCTTAAATGTCCCAGATTCCTACTCAGTGGCTCTCCAAATGAGTAACAGACTTGAGCCTTTTCAGGATGGAAGCAGAGAGATTATTTAGGTGGCCCTCGCTGTGTCAAAAAACCCAACTTTATAACTTAAGAGCAGTGTTAAGAGGCAGATTACTTGCTTTTTGTGAACTTTTGTTTTAGGATCATGTATATAAACTATTTTTATTCAGATTACACCTACTTTATCTTATCTTTTAACTGCTGAAGTAAGATGGTGGCATCGATAACCTATTTTTCAAGTCACAGATAAAAAAGCCCCCATTTTTAGAAGATGCCATTTCAACTCATTTAAGATTTCCTTCTCTCATTTTTTAAAAAGATTTTAATTATTTGTTTGAGGGAGGGTGGGGAGAACACAGAAGGACAGTGAGAGAGAGAAGCAGATTCCCTGCTGAGCTGAGAGCCTGACCTGGGGCTTGATCCCAGGACCCTGAGATCATGACCTGAGCCGAAGGCAGACGCTTAACTGACTGAGCCACCCAGGCGCCCCTCCCTTCTCTCTTGTTAAACTTAAAAACAAAACAAAACAAAAAAAACCTCTGGCGATGTAAGGAAAAGGGCATAATCATGTAGCAGTAATATAGCATGAGATACATACTCTGTGAGAAATTTTTCAGGGAAAAAAAAAACCAAAACCCCAAATCAAAAAATCTAAAAAGGAAGCATATTTTACCAGAAAGGTAGGCAATATTGCAATTATCACCTGTACCACGTGTTCGTAAACGAACACAGCCACACCCATTCATTTACAGATTGCCCAGGGCTGCTCTGCAGCCCCAGTGGCAGAGTTGTGCAGTTGGTATAGACAGAAGGGCCCATAAACTGTAGAAGAGTTACTTTTGGCCCTCCACAGAAACAAACATCTAGGTTACAGAAACATGTGAGATTTTATTGGAAGATCGCATTCAAAACCCAAAGGGGTCTCTATGTAACATATGTCCTCAGTAGCAACAGATACAAATCCTATTTTCCCATTAGCTTCAATTTTGCAACAGAAGTTAGGGAAAGCCCACAAAAAGAATAAGCTGAAAACCTAACATACCAATTTAGGTATATCTTCGGTAAGAAGTGTAATCTATTTTCTTTCTGAAATCTATAATACTTGGTTAAAATGTCTGAATCCCCAAGAATCTCTCCTACCTCTGGTCAGCTTCTCTTATCTCTTACCAGAGAAATTTCTTATTAGAACACCCAACTCCAGGTTCACAATTTATAGAATTTGTACCCCGATTCTGTCAATTCATATTTAGTAATGCAAGGCAATAACGACACACATCACTATCAGTGGAACTACAGAGCAAGGAATGTTACCCTGAAATACCTTTAGCTCACTGCTTCACATGTTCTACAGTAAGTTATAACCGAATACCAACCTATAGCATTACAAATCATATATATGTTTTTTGAAAAGTCCTGAAGGCTTTAGATAGTCATTGGTGGTTAAAACATGTTCAAGGTTTTTTCTTTTTTTTCCTTTAGGCTAATGAATCCTTATTTTCATCACGTTCACCTGACCATGTAATTATACTTTTAAAAATTCTATTACCAAATTGTTAATATGAAATTGTAGTTATGTTTTTAAGGAGTCTCTTACCTCTTGAAACACAAACTGAAATATTAATAGTTGAAGAGATATCTGGGATTAATATCAAAATAACTACAAAGGGAGGGGGAAATGTTGGAGCGGCCAGAACTGGTAACTGTTCACGTAAGTATGAGTCACGGGGATTCGCTTTTTTTCAAACCTATACAAAAAGTAGGCAGACTTTTTCCATAATAAAAAAATGTTTTCAACGTAAAAAAGGATTTATTTTTCTCTACTTACCATCTAGTAATTCTAGAGTAACTGTAGGATCCACATATTCCCACCAATGTTTTCCATCAGTTGACACAGGAATCTCCCAATTGGACCATTTGCAAGCCAAATGAATACATACACATGCTATCACTGTTGGTTTGTACTGAAGACAGAAGGTGGTAAGGTGGAGACTGTTGTAGAGCAGGTTTGAAAACGAAGAACCATAGTAATTCAAATATGTAAAACAAAGAAAAATATTTACCAATAAGATTAGAGCAAAAACATAAACGTTTTCTTTTTTAAGTCTACAGTACAAAACCATATTAAATTAAAAACTAGCACTATAGTTATAAAATTCTAATACTAAAAAACCTACATAGATTATAAACATTCTCTACATTCTGACTCCCCAGATCATTATACTATTATTTTATTAAGACTACTAATATATTAATATTTCTAAATTTTGAAGTATTTTTACTTCTTCATAAAAGGAGAAGACAGTGTATTTCCAATAATCAGCATAGAACATTTTAATTTTTTTGTAGTATTTTTGTTTCTTTTGTAATGTCATGGCAAAAAAGTAAAGAAAAAGCAGAAGACTATAAAATTGACAAAGTAATTTCAACATCACATTATAGAATCAGGAATTCTACCATTTGATGTGGGTTAGCAAACATAATTCTCAAGTCAAAGAGAATCTAACATTTATCTATGTAAACCTCTGTCTTCTTTTCAGCGAAGCCACAGAGAAAACTTACCTTTTGGTGAACAGCTTCAAGGCCCAATGCTGCTAAGTACTAGAAAAATGCTACCTTTCTCCTTCTGCTATATGCCCCAAACTGGGCATGTAACATGTTACAGCTAGCTTTTTCTAATGAAAGTTTTATATTTAGTACTTTGTTTTTCAAAATTCCAAGGGATAGAGGTTAAATCCCAACAACATATACCTAAGAAAATATATTCGTATTTGCCAATCCAAAGCTTTACATAAAACTTAACAGTGTCACAAGAAATCAAGGACCACACAATGCTAGTTTGGTCCCCTCCTCCCAAATGACCCATTTAAAAAACAAACTTAAGGCATTAATATAATCAACCCAGAACAGAATTATCTATTAGATATTAAAGGCTTTAAAAAATTATTCTTCCAGTTCAGTTCAGAATTGATGAAAAATGTTTATCAAGAGCAAACCCACACCACTTTTTCTTTATGTAAACTGAAAAGGAAATAAGTTTTTTTAAAGTAAAAATTGTACTTAGTCAAATCTAGGCACTGACAGGACTTGGCTACTTCTGATTTACAACTAGTGGGTATTATCTGGAAAAAAAACCCAAGTTATATAAATTTTATTTATTAAAAAAAAACTTTTATGATTAAAGTTAAGATTGGATCAATGTGAAATTTAAAAAAATTGTCATTTAACTATAATTGTAAACTAGAAATAGCTTTATACTTACCAAGTTGCTCGAATTTCTACGTTAAGTTTAGCTCTTTGTAATCTTTAGCTGCTATTCAGGCTACCAATTTTAGACTTATGCACTCACAAATCGAGAATATGTCATCAGAAAGCACCACTACACTTCACAATGTGCATTTAACCCCTCTGTGCCAAAAGTCCCTTGTACAATACACCGCAAAGCAGACAGGAAGGTACCACCACAGTAGATGGTCCAGTCTCCTGTTGCAACAAGGGTAAGAGACACATTGAGGGGGCCCTGCATTAAAGGAAGCTATAGTGTGCTACAACAGTGCAACAAAGAGGGTCAGGATAACAACCTGTTGGTAGCCATGAAATAGGATGTCTGTGCCAAATCCTTGCTTGCTGTAAGAAAAGAAAAAAAAAACGAAGACAATACTATCAGCTTTAATGTGCTACCATCAAAAAGTTCTCAACACAACAAAAACTTCAAAGTTTTGTACACAAAAAGTAAATTTTACTTACTACTTACAAATATCACAAGAGCGCCATCATTTTCTATACTACTGAAAATCTTCAACAACATTCACTCAAATGTTTCTTGCTATCCCCCAAAGATCTGAGAAACAAGCCGATTTGCTTTTAGCTAGCCAGTTACAAGGGCTAAACTTGTTACTAAGTTAAGCATCTAGTCAGCTAAAAGTTGCAATAAAGCATTCTCCTGGATTTAAAAAAAAAAAAAGAAGAAGAAGAAGAAGAAAAGATTTTGAAGTCTAATACAAAATACAAAGAGTTGCCTGCCAGACTTAATCCTCAGTCATCATATTTAAGTTGGCTTAAGTACTTCCATCCAAAGAAAAGAAAACAAAACCCCCACCCCCCCCAAACTCAAGAGAGCACAAACTGCTCAGTTTTTCATGCTACTAAGCATCAACAAGGAATAAACAACCTAGAAACATCCTAAGGGCATAGATATAGAAAACTCCACTGCATATATTTTTCTTACAGAATCCAATAGTCAACTTTAGAAAAAGATAATAAGTACTCCGGGGAATCAGGATGCTTCAACAATGGTCCCCAAAGGAAAAGCAATTTTTACCAACTAGCTTTTAAGACATTGAAATTGAAAACAGTCCCCCGCTCACTTCATCTGATTTCTTATTCTCCCCAAGAGGGATTCTTTTGCTATAATTTCCCTTTTCCCCCAATTACATTCATAATCATTGATGTACCTTTCCCCTCTGCTCACCTAGGATCAGTTCACCTCAACTCACCCCTCTCTAACAGGCCTCAAATTTGCCCTGTATTTTTTTCATGGCACCTGTAATCCCTGCTGCCCCATGTGGATCACCAACATAAGGTATACAAAAGGGATTTGGGCTTAGCAGAGTTGTGCTAAGGAAGAGTGTCAAAGCATCAGATGTCTTGGAGGCAGTGTGACTTATGTATGGCATTCTTTCCTGGTGGGGAGGGAAGGAGAAATCACAGAAATGAAAGGTCCCTGTAAAATGACATTAGCCAATTCTGCAGCAAAGTAGCATAATATCAACTTTCTCAAGTCCAGAGGGGGCGGGGGGGGGGGGGGCGCGAAGAACTTTAAAGAAACCAAACCATTTACCACCCCCTGCCCCCCAAAGAATCAAAATATGTAGAGAAGTAAAAATAATTTTAAATTGCCGTAGCAGTTTTTACCTCAGAATATATCTAAATTCAATAACCTATTAACAGTGTGCAACAGAGGAAGAATGTAGGGAAAATGTTTGTTAGCTGAAAATTTTAACAGAGCAAAGAAAAACAGACACCAAACATGAAAGAATGTTTTTAAATGGAGTGAAATGTAAACTATAGTTACCTGAAATGTTAGTCAGACAAAATAAAGTTAAACATATGTAAGATTTATACTAAAATTTAAGAATTGGTCACATTTTAAGCATTAACAACAACAAAAAATTAGATTTAAATATTCTGCTTTGGATAAAACATCAAATTTATAGTTTTTGTGAATTTGTAAAAACTTACTATTCAACTTTGCAAATGAATGGACTTGATGTCTCTAGCTTTAGATACAGGGGAACATGTACAAAAGCTACTGAACTCTGATTACGGATTTTTGAAGAGGACTCAAATTTCACAATGATACTAAGCTGAAAATTCAGTTTCATCTCCTACTAAGTACATATATATATGTTTTAACCTATATAAATATCTTCTTTCATTAGGCTTAGTTTAAAGCAAAGTTACATGGCTCCCCATTATTCTGACAAAACAGCTTATTCTTTCAAGTTTTTAGGAAAACTACTCTAAAACTTTTTTTTTCTTAATTCAAACATATACACTAGTTATCTAATATAATTCTATACTACACTGTAATTCTGGGATGAAAATGTGCTCTAAATTATATTCCAATAACCATGAAGTACAGGAATCATAATTGAATATGTTCTACAAGTCATAACATGTACTAGCTATTAGAATCAAAAAAATATAAATGGGACTTTCAGAAATCCATGTCTTAACAATGACACTGTGATAACAGATTTGTTTTAAATGTAGCCATTAACAATAAAATCCTACCAGGTATATGAATTAAATTTAGAAGGAATAAAATGTGAGAATATTCAGGTAAACACTAAAAAACAAAGCAGAGCCTTTAAAAGTCTTACCCATTTTGTTTAGAATAAACCTAAAGAAAAGAATCTGGGGGTAAAAGAATGAAACTGCAAAATTTCATTTTCAAAAAGTAACAGAAAAAGGCACAATGAAAGTTCCAAGTGGTTGCTCTTAGTACATTAACACTTCAAATGGGAAACAGGAAAGTAGAAGTAAGTAAGTAGTGTAACAACATGCAACTGTGTAAAGAATGTATCTAGGGATACAAGAACAGATACACAGGATTCATTAGCAAGAGTAGAAAAATGTATACCACATGCTTTATAAGCAGTAAAGCAAATAATACAAAAAGTTCCTACTCCTGTTTTAAAACGCTTAATAGGCACATCACTTGCCTGCTGTCTGTAGCATACTATGTATTTCCCCAAAACACACAAAAAGGAAATTATTTTCAATAATGCTAAAGAACTTTGAAAAATGTATTAAACCAATTTTGTTCAAATGAACACGGGGAAAATATTTCCAAAATGGCAAACCTGCTAAGACAATTTTTATCTGAAAGATCTGATGGCGGCCTCCAAATTCTTAAATTGTAATCATTTTTCTAGAAGTCAATGAAAACTTGAGATAGACCAGAAATTTTCTGCGTGTATGTGTCAATGGCCAACTTCTTAAATATTAAATGAAATGGGACTGGCTTAGCCTACTGGGGAGGTGGGGAGAGTCTTAATATTTGGAAGCCCTCCAATTTTTTAGTGAAAGGAGATTCTCCTGTAAGTTTAAAGGAAACGAATTCACCAGGTAGAACCACATACAGAAGTAGATGAATAGGCAGACGTAGGACACCAAAAGACGCTGCTTCAAAACGACATCTCCCCATTTTGAGAAAACTCATTCAAATCAATTACAGACAATAAAAAGCATTAATACTTAATTTAGAAGTTTCAAAGATCACTTACCTCTTACTAACTGGGTACATTTCACCACATCTGTGTGTGGATGTTCAATGGTGATCTCAAAACCTGAAATGAAAAGCACTTTTTTCCCAATCACTTACCACACTACAATACTTGCCTGAGAAATGCCACGTGTCAGCACAACCATAAATGTGTATAATACATCGTTCATTATTAAAAAGATCCAAAGACAAAGTTATTTTGACATGCTCATTATACCTTCAATGACGAGAAATAATTTCTTCTCAAAAACAATGTTCCACTTAATGAAAACTGGTTAACAAAGCTATTCGTAGATTGGGGTGATATTTATTAAAAATTCTGAATTATGATTAGTTTGAGATTACCTTCAGGTTAAAAACAAAATTATGGAAAATATAACTATTAAGCAAAGAACTCAACTATGTAACATATTTTTAAACGTATTACAACTCTTTCCGAAGATGTAAAAAGAGTATTTTTCATAAATATAATCCCTGGGCCATAGTGGGATAAAAAAGACCTTTTAAATGATTTATAGTCCTCTTATTTTCTTAGTATGCCTTAGATGAGAGGGTTTCAAAGCTAAGTATAATTAGCTTATAATTACACTTCATTGATAATAAAGTTATTAAGACTAGTGAACCTTGTAGGCTCAAGATTCTTTAAATCACTGTTTCTAGGGCGCCTGGGTGGCTCAGGTGGTTAAGCAACTGCCTTTGGCTCAGGTCATGATCCTGGAGTCCCTGGATCAAGTCCCGCATCGGGCTCCCTGCTCGGCAGGGAGCCTGCTTCTGCCTCTGACCCTCCCTCCTCTCATGTGCTCTCTCTCTCTCATTCTCTCTGTCTCAAATAAATAAATAAAATCTTAAAATCAATCAATCAATCAATCAATCAATCAATCAATCACGGTTTCTAAAACCAAAGATAAAATGCTGAAAGAGCTTTCAATGTCTAAACAACCCTTAGGCAGGGCGTGGTTTTTCCATTTTAAAAAGTGGAGGTCACATCTAGTGTCTTCAGAAGCAGTAAACGAGTAACATCCTGACAAACAGGCAATCTAGATTTTTAAAATTGCTGTGTGATCTATTCCTACTGTAATTAAAACTGCAAAATCATACTTTAATCAAAGCCACAGAAGTGTATCTTAAAAATTCTAACATTCCCCTTAAAATAACGTAATTCTCCTTTTAACCTTTATTACACAAATCTTTGTAAATTTCATATTTATATAATGTCATATAATAAAGCAATAACATGCTAAATCATTGGATTTGGAGATAATAAGATTCTCACTTTTATTTTTATATCTTTTTATATTATAAAAACATCAATCAAGTTATATCTATTTCAAACAAGCTACTTTTCTTAAAAAAAAAAAAGTCTGTCATGATGGGAGGCTATGATTATTGCACTTCTTTTCAACGTTTGGGAATGGAGTAATAAATAAATAACTACCATAATGAATAATGGCTACTTATGACACACACACTATGTGGTACATGTTTTTTATATACTCTCTCTCATCTTCAAATTCACAATGTTAAGGCAGACATTATTTCTCCACCTCGCATATATAGAATGGAGATATGAAAGGTAAAACAACTTTGCCCACGCTTAAAAAGCTAGTCAAAGGGATATGGATTTTAAACCAAGAGCTCCATAAAGCCCATGTTATTCCCATCATACACTGCTAAGTTCTTCCAGAAGTAATATATGACTTCACACAAGACAGACCTTGTTAGGTCTCAATTTCCTCAACAATAAAGTGAAAGATTCGAATAAATAATCCTCAGAGATCACTTAAACTGCAAAAAACTTGAAGACAATGTAACTTTTAGAAAAGGATGATCATTTAAATAACTACTGTGTCACATTAAAAATGTGATAAATTTATTAAATATTGACTATAAGTCAGAATATTTGTACACATTACAATCATATGCAGTCTTTCACAATGAAAACTATGTTTACCATTCAATTAATGGTAAATGAAATTTTTTAAAAAATGGTTTCCTTATAACCAGGTAACTATTCTGGCCCCAAACATTGTTTTAAAATGAAACTTTGTTTGGGCGCCTGGGTGGCTCAGATGGGTAAGGGTCTGCCTTCGGCTCAGATCATGATCCCAGGGTCCTGGGATTGAGTCCCGCATCGGGCTCCCTGCTTAGCGGGAAGCCTGCTTCTCCCTCTGCTTCTCTCTCTCTCTCTCTCTGTGTCTCTCATGAATAAATAAATAAAATCTTAAAAAAAAAAAAAGTTAAAATGAAACTTTGTTCAATGATAAAATTATTCCATCTTTAGGACACCACACTGAAGAACACAACACAAAAATAATATCTGACATAAGTACATACCTAGGGTTTGTAGCATTATGGTTTCAAGTAAAACCAGTTCTTGAGTCTGTTGAAGGTAAGCCTGCCAGGTAAAAATAATAACATTAAAATGCTTAAGATAAACACTACTAGACTATGGGACCGTTAAATCATTACAGAAGAATCAGAGTAGTTTGGAAACACAAAAATAATTTGAGGGCGACAGACAAATCCTATTTTCTACAACCAATCTAAATTGAATTACTTCTAATACAGAATATGTAAACAAGGTAAAAAAAAAACAAAACAAAAACACCCTAAAAAGACAACAATAACATGAAAGGAGGTAGAGCTTAACTGAAAACAAACCCTCCAGCCTGTAATATAAAACTTCATGTAGGCACTGGTGCTTCAAGACATACTAAGGTAGGAAGCACCAACTCAAGCAAGAACATCAAATTCAAACCTGCCTGTAAAGAAAAGACGCATAAACTCACTCTAAGATATTTCATGTGGTAATTCCTTGATGGTGAGAGTAAGTCAGTGAGTTATTTTTTTAGAACTTCCTCTCTTCAAAAAGACAAAATAAAATCAAAGCAAACCCTCAAATCTCTAGGTTAAAAGAAAACATTTTAGATATAAAATATCAAAAGAATGTTATCATACACCCATGGGGAAATAGAGGGCCTTCTCTTTTAACTTCAACAAATCATTCCCCTACTATAATTACTCTGGGAATAAAGAGTATGAAAAATTTCTACCATTATCAAATTTCTTAAATTATGACAACTGAGTGTAAGGTGATAAAAAACAATACATCATACATAAATATTCATGTAAGGACATGTTGCTAAACTCAGAGTGAAAAGCACCTTTATTTATGTCCCATTTTAAAAAGGTCACTAGATGATTTTTTTAAAGCATAGATTTCTATTATTTGAACAATACCCTAAGTATTCACCAAAATTAATTCTGAATTTGTAAAGTTAATAGAAATTACAAGAACAATCTCTGAATAATCACACATTCTTTATTATTGAATGGTTACATTAGTATCTCACTCCCTTAAAACCAACATCTAAGATAAAACTTGTCATTAATAAACTCAGATATACTTAAAAAAAATCAGATACACTTTTTTTTATATCAGATATACTTAATCTGGACTTTAGGATTAACTAAATGAAAGTAAACTAATATAATCTGGCAGTCATTTAGTAGTTACAAGTTCCTGATAAAGGAATTCACCTATAATACAAGTGCTGGGAAAGTGAATTTAAAGGCCTAGAATTCTAGCTTCTGTTTTAAGATGTTGTAACATTTTGGGGCACCTGGGTGGCTCAGTTGGTTAAGCGACTGCCTTCGGCTCAGGTCATGATCCTGGAGTCCCGGGATCGAGTCCCGCATCGGGCTCCCTGCTCAGCGGGGAGTCTGCTTCTCCCTCTGACCCTCCCCCCTCTCATGTGCTCTCTCTCTCTCAAATAAATAAAATCTTTAAAAAAAAAAAAAAAAAAGATGTCATAACATTTTAAAATGGCACTTTCAAAATGGTCTATTAAAATGTTGATGATGGGGCGCCTGGGTGGCTCAGTTGGTTAAGCGACTGCCTTCGGCTCGGGTCATGATCCTGGAGTCCCGGGATCGAGTCCCGCATCGGGCTCCCTGCTCAGCAGGGAGTCTGCTTCTCCCTCCGACCCTCCCCCCTCTCATGTGCTCTCTCTCTCTCATTCTCTCTGTCTCAAATAAATAAATAAAATCCTTTAAAAAAAAATGTTGATGATGAACAAGTTGTTTAGAAGTTAGCATTACTCTTGAGGAAAATTAAAATATGAAAAAAACCCTCTCATGAAAGTATGGTAAAACAGCATCTTTATGGATCAGTATCAGAGAGGTAGCTATTAGTATATATGCATTAACAAAGGAACAATTCTGTAAAATTACTATTTACTGTTCTAGAGGCAAGTTCAGGGTTTTTTTCTATTTTTTTTCATTGTTGACAATTTAAGAGTTATTTATCTCTGGTCTCAAATGGAGCCAAACAATGCAGATGATATGACTTACCCTCTACATATAGCATAGGTTTGCTGTGAGGATAAACAACAAAATGTAAAACACTTATAACCACCTTTGAATCACAGCCTTAACACGATTCAGAACGACACTGAAACTCATGTACACACATAAAATCTGTTTCTGTTAGATCACTCCCCAGTATTACATCCTAAATGGTGAAATAAATAAGCAGCAGTTGGAAGGCAACACCAATTGAATTATTATTACATACATCACATTTAGTATCCAGCAGTGGCTCTAAGGGATGAAGACAAGCATGTGCTACTTTGATAACATGTTCAAGTTTTCGAGCCTGTTCTTCCACTTTTGCAGCCAAAAATAATGCGGTAGGTGATATTATCTGCAGAAAAGATAAACATTTGGTGATTTAAAAGTAAAAAATTTTGGAAAAACCTTCTGTTTTCTAAAGGAGGGGTGTGCAAAGAAGGAATGGAGTATTAAAAGTATGAACTGTGAGTTGGGCTAAGATTGATATAAGAGTTAATAAAGGGATTCATTAAATAAAACTAGTTACCCTAGTCTATAAAACCTGCTTTACTTGTTTTGCAAATAGAACACCAAAGGGAAAAAGGAAAAAGACTTCTATTTGGGCTAACTAAAAGAAACTTTAAATCTTACTAATGCATATTGTGG